TTCCACGCTTGGGTGTGACCTGGGTGGCCCCACAACCAGCTCTGAAATGCAATGTCTTTTGCTTGTTCATGGCATGCCCTGTTTCATTATGAATGCACAATATCAACACCTTTATTTTTCTCCAAACAGCCCCAGCATGAAGGAATATCCTGTGTTAATCCCCTAATTTAAATTTGAAATTAAAACCTATCACAACACTTGGAGCATCCTTTAATTCATTGATTGTCACTGGCTTCGTTCCAGCACTGTAACTAATTACATTCTGCCTGCAAAAAAAATTCTCATTGCTGGTGGCTTTGCTCATTTTTTTTTTTTTTTTTTTGAGAGCTGCTGGCTTGAATTCTTGTGCCATCTCTGCAGCCTGACTACACATTTTTATGCTGATGGAACTGTTTCAAATGACTAAGCAGCTCTGCTCGCTGGAGGGATGCAGTGTGGTGCTCTGCAGCAGGTGATGAGGGTGTCCTGCCTCAGCAGTTGTGTACAAACACTCTGCTCTGGGGTTTGCTGGAGGTGGAGAAGGAAAGCCTTGGAGTAAATCCCAAGTCATCCTGATCCAGCAGGTTTTTACAGGGTCACGTTTGCCTCGGGGCCACTCTTCTGTCCCCACTGCTGAGCCTGCCAAGAGTTGAAAATGTGTGACTCCCACCAGCAGTTGTGTTGTGTGGGTCTGGTTCAAGGGGATTGTTTCAGTCCCTAAGGAATCCCAAGGCAGCCAGGCTGGAGCAGCAGTTAACGTGCCACAGTTTGTAATCAGGCCCTGGAAGCAGCTTGGAGGGCACAGCCCTGTCACTGCTGAGCAGCAGAGGGGTGGGAAGCAGGAGAAGGGGGGGATTAACCTGCAAGTAGCAGCGGTAGAGAAAGTCAGGGTGTTTGGTCTTGCACGACCAAGATAAAGTAGGAATTCATCCAGCATTTGCTAATTCCAGAGGACTTGGAATGAACTAAAACTAATCTGAGTTAAACTTATTTTCAGCTGTTGCAGTGACATGAGGGCACTTTGGGTGGTACTTTGGGTTTTTTTGTGTGACCCCATCTGGTCCCTGGGGGAGAGTGGGAGCTGCTGGTGTTGAGATTGGATGTGATGTCTGCACCTTTTTGACTGACTTGTTGCTTGGTGTTCTTAGTGACATGTAGGGAATGTATTTCCTTGTGGTTTGTTTGTTGTGTTTTTTTTCACTTGACCCTTCTAAATCTATGTGAGGAGGGTTGTTGTCTAGAGGGGGTCAGGTAATGAGAGACTGTTATGAAGTATCTGAGTGCTCACTGGAATTTTTGGAGCAGCCCTCGATGTCTTTCAGCAGTGCTGTATCAAAAGCTGGCTGTGTTAGTGCCTGGCCAAAAATGGAACAGATGGGGTTAATGAAGTCAAGGATTAGGTCCCTAATCTGTGCCAGGACTGCTAGAAATGTAGGGTTGTGGGGGTTTTTTTGTTTTTTTTTGTTTTTTTTGTTTTTTTTTTTTTGGTCACATGCTAGAAAAAGCAACAAAGGACAAGCATGAGGATTTTCACCTCTCTCAGAAGCCTTCTCTTAACTATGCTCCCCTGGCTTTCCTTTCAGCTGATGCAGTGAACCCAAGGATCAGGTGATGCCTTAGAAAAAATGGTCCCATTCTCCTGGAAGTGAAGAGCTCAGGTGCTGGTAAAACTGTTGGCTGGTTTTTTGTTGTTTTTTTTTTCAATTGTTTTACAATTCCAGAGTTAGGGTTCTCTTTCCAGGGACTCAGGTTTAACTCTTGGCCAGGTGTTCTGCCTGGGGTCTGTGGCAGGGGAAGGTTGGGCAGGGTGCATTTAATTTGGCATTCCTCTCAGGGGGGTGGGAGCTGGGTGTCTGATTGCTCCCAGACTGGGCCCTGAGAAGCTGATGGGTATAAGAAACAGCTGTATTGGCTTCCTGGGTTGGAATTTAGCTGCATGGTGGTTTGAAAACTAAAACATTAAAGAGTTCTGGTTATTTCAATACTCATCTACTTTTGTTTGTTTGTTTGTTTGTTTGTGTGTGCAATGAAATTGGATTCAACCTTTTTTTTTTCCAGACTCCTGCTTGAAATCACTGTCTAAGCTGTGGGCAGGGGTGGGAAAACGTGACCAAGGTTCATCTGCCTTTATGAAGAGCTTGTTAGATCAGGACAGTGGTGATGGGAGGAAACACTCCTGCCTGGACCAGCAGTGACCTCTTGTGGGTGCAGAGGCTGCTGGGGGTGTTGGGAGCTGGCACTTGCAGTCAGAGGGTGTTCATTCTATCTGTGGCCTTAAGGTGGATGTGGTGAAGGGAACTCGGATTCCCTTGCCTGAAATACCAGAAACAAACAGCTCTAAGTGGTGCAAAGTCTCTTTTCTCCCTCACACGTGTGTGCTCTGGGCTGGGATGTGAAATGATGCTGAATGGTTCAGGAGAAGCTCAGGCTCCTCTCCCTGGTGGACCCTGAGCTGGCCTTTGAGCAGATCAGGGGAGTAAAACAGAGCAAGAGCAGAACTCCTGTGCTCATGTGCTTTTTCCTTGGAGTGTCTTTATCTCTGATGAAAAGCTGTCTCACTGATCTGGCCCTAAACCCAGATTTCACAGTGCTGTAAAGCAGGCCTTTGTCTGGGGTATGCAGAGGTGCTGGGGGGGTCTCAGCTCCTGATAATCACTTAAAAGTCCTAAGGCATATGACCAGGTTCCCAGTTAATGGGGAACTGTCTCAGCCCAGCTTCCTACCAGCTGCAGGGGCAAAGCAAAAACTTCTTGTTGAAGCCAGTTTAAAAAAAAAAAAAAAAAATTTAAAAGTTATGATGTCAGTACATTCTGTCTCCCAGTGGAGGTAAATTTCTGCAGCTACAGCTCAACCAGTGCTGTGTAAGATGCAGAGTGTAGCCTGTGTATCAGAAAGCTCTTTTAGTGGTTGGTGAGAGGAATTCAAGTCAGGAAAAAAAAAAAGATTTTTTGTCTTTTCACCAAACACCACATTGCTTCATCTCCCTGTGCCTTAAAAAGCATCTGAAAGTGAGGCTCTCAGAGGAGATTTTTCATTGTGTCTGTTGTTTTATGACAAGCTGCTTGCTTAGATTTTTTTCTTTTTTTTTACTTCTGAGCTAAAGACAACGCTCCCTTTGAGTTGACACGTATCTTTGGGCAGTTTCCAAATATTTCTGTTCCCTGGACAACTGCAGATTCCTTGGGAGTGAAGGTAGGAATTTTGGGCAGAGACAGCTGCACTGCTCCCCTGCAGTTGGGAGGTAACAACCTCAAAATGCCAGGAATGCCATGGAGGTGCTGGATGTCTTGGCTGTGGAGATGCCAAGAAAATGAAAGGTGGTGGGAATCCTTAGTAAGAAGTTATTTGCCTTTTATTCCTCAGTTTTAAAGCACAAGCTCTTTGTGTGTGCCCTGCTCTGGAGTGGTGACTTCTGTGTGTAAACTTGCCAAATTCCTATTTTGGAGACACAGCAGAAAATCCTCTGCCCTTTTCCTATTTCTGACTGCTAAGACAAAGATACATTTGTTTATTTCTGCAACATATGATGACCTGACAAACTGCTTTTTTTAAAAAAAAAAAAGCGGGGAGAAGGGAATATCTGAATTATAGCCACACGGTTAGGGAAATGTAAATTCTGGGTTTATTTTGATTTCGCTGTCTGGCAAGGCCTAATTAACACCCAAAAATAAAAGCAACGCTCCAAAGCCCCAGGGTGTTTGATGCTGTGGTTTGTCTGGATGTTTGTGATAGTTAGGGGAGTGTCTTGTGCTATAAAAGTGGGGAAAGGGGAAACCAAACAACGAGGAAGAAGACAAGAATGTGTAAGAGCAACAGCTGGGAGTGCAGCCTTGACAGAGCTTTGTCTCGTGGGTTTTTTGGGGGTGGGTCAGATGGTAGCTAAAGAAAGGCTGGAATAACGATATTCCAGAAAAGCTATTAGTGTCAAACTGTGTCCGGGTCAAACGAAGTGATTTAAAATGTTGAGAACTCTCTCTCAATTTGGAAGATGAAAATGTAAAACTGAAAGGACATTTGTGGGGTTTTTTTAAGGTGTTTCCATCAGGTGTGCTGTTTGGGGTGTGTTAGGTGGCTCCAGGGTGCTGGGGGAAGCTTGGGTGGGGACAACCTGGTTCTACAGGTCCGAATAAGCCTTGCTAAAACCTGAGTTCAGCAGGGATCCTTCATGGCTGGGAAATGATTAAACAAGACACCTGAAACAGCAACGCCCCTTTGAAAATGGAGCACATCTACATCAAAGGTGCAAAGTATGAGCTGTCTTGCGTGGAAGCCGGTGAAGGATCAGGCAAACAAGGACGTGCTTTCAACCTGTGAGTTCTTTGAAGGAGAGGCGGGCTGGGGGAAAGCTCTCTCTTATCGACAGAGCTGTAAAATCCGTTTAACACGGGGAATGAACGCTCTGTTGTGTCTCTCCCGAGGCTTTTCCGCTCCGCAGGTTGCAGGATGCTGCGAATCAGTGCTGGAATGTGGGAGGTGAAGGTAACACCGGTGTCACCTGGTGAGGGTGAGGAACCGGCGGTGTGTGTTGCTGGTCTGATAAACCTTTCTTCTGGGCATGGGAACGTGTTCCAGTGTGCCCCCGCGTGTACATGTATACACATGTGAAACACCGATAGATCTGGCTTAGAAGGGGCGGGCGAACTGAGCGCTGTCCTGGGGGGAAGAAGGTCCCGATAGTAAAAGTACGGAGTCAACAGTGAAAATGAGGAGCCGACAGCAGAACAGGCGTTTATTTCTGACGGGGTTTTTCCCGTTTGAAGGACGGAGGTGTTTTCTGCTCCGCGGGGCCGCAGCCGCTCCCGGGGCCGGTCCCTGGGGATTCCCTCGGGATCCAGAGGGGGAGCGGGGGGGCCGGGCCGGGCTCACATGACGGTGGGGGCGGGTCGGGCCCCGCCACTGCCGAGCCGGCCCCGGCTCCTGCCGCTCCTGCCCTCCCCATCCCATCCCATCCCGTCCCGTCCCGTCCCGGAGCTCCCGCGGAGCGCTCCGGTCCCGCCGCGGCTCCTCCATCCCCCGCCGCTGCCGGGACCGCTGCGATGCCCGCCCCGCTGCCCCCGACGGAGCTGCTGGGCTCGGAGCGGGCCGTGGTGCTCGTGTCCTGTGTCCTGTCCTGCGTGGGCTCCTCGCTCCTGCTCTGCTCCCACGCGCTGTGGCCGGAGCTGCGGACGCGGCCGCGGCAGCTCCTGCTCTACCTGTCGCTGGCCGACCTGCTCTCGGCGCTCTCCTACTTCTACGGGGTGCTGCAGGACTTCGACAGGACCTCCTGGGACTGCGTCCTGCAGGGCGCCCTGTCCACCTTCGCCAACACCAGCTCCTTCTTCTGGACCATGGCCATCGCCCTCTACCTCTACCTCACCATCGTCAGGGGCTCGCCCACGGGCACGGGCTTGCTGTGCTGCTTCCACGCCGTGAGGTGGGTGCTGCCTGCTGCTCCTGGGAGGTGGGGACCCCCCGACACCCACCCCGTGGCCAGGAGCCCCCTCTGCTCCGCGATGGAGCGCTCGGATGGCCGCTGGAATCACCTGCGCCTCCCTTAAGGATAGCGTCTGTGTCCCCCTCTCAAATTCCTTTTAAACACGGATTTTGCTGCCTTTTAACCAGCTAACCCTTTTAACCAGCTAACCCTGCTGGTTCCATCCCCTCTCCCCCTCCCCGCCCTTCCCAAGTGAAGAATTGGAGACGTGGAAAAAGTTAAAAATGTTTTTTTTGCTCAAGGTCACACAGAAAAAAATCTCTGGCGAGTTACAACGACTCTAAAAATCCTGGCTTCTGCCCTGACATCCAGGAAATAATACCCTAAAACTTGTGTTTGCGATACCTGTCTGCCAGAACTCCCGTGTTTGGGGTCTGTTTCCATGGGTCCCTGACTTCCCCGGTGTGTGGATCCTTCCCCTTTCCCCGGGCAGGTTGCTGTAATCCAATACCCACAGGAGAATGCTGTCTGCGAGTGATGAGGCTGCTAGGAAAGCATTCCGGAGGTTGTTTTGGCACGTTTGATTGAAAGCAAGGCGAACCAGACCGCGGTGTAGCTTTCTGTCTCGGTTTCTGTTATTTAGGGAGCTGATTTTCCACAGCATGTTTAGTAAAAGCTTTCATTATGCAATTTGGAGCTTGTGGAATCATGTGCTACGTCCACGCTGAGCGAAACAGTGATCCTTTAGTCCTCCTCCTTGCCAAGCTTTTGCAATAAATTAGAAGAGGAATGATCTGGTTTAAAAAGGGGGGAAAAGAAAAAGTAATTGGGACAAACACCAACTTTTCTTTGGTTTCTTAGTCAAGTATTTGTTACCTTGTAGTTTCAAACAGCATCAGTTGGGAGATGATGGAATTAGAGCCGAGTCCAGGTAAGGATGTGCCACAGAAAGACTTTAAGGCTGAGTGTGAATCAGGGAGGAACTTCAGTTCCTGCCCTACCTGTTCTAATTGCTGCCTGACAACAAGATCTGTGTGTGAGGAAGCCTGAGGTGACTGGAAACACCAGGTTGATGGTGGTGAAGCTGAAATAAGATGCAGTGAGGCAGTGGAGGAGCTTTTTAGGTGATTTAATCTCAAGTGAATAGAGAGCTCTGAGAGCTGTGGAGAGGATGGAGTGCCAGTAAAGAGCCACAAGTTGCTTAATGGACAGAAAACAGAAGCCTGGCTCCTTCATGGCCATGCTGGTTCTATCAGGAGACATCAAAGAGTTGAGGCAAATCTGGCCTATTTGTAATTTTCTTGCCTGCTGATTGCTTGTGGGGCTTTTGCTTGTGTTTGTTTCTCCACCTGGTTTGATGCCCCTCAGCCTCGGTGGCTACAAAGTGCTCAAAGGAACAGGCAGAGTCACCAAAACAGTGTTGGCTGTAATCTCTGCACCCTTGAAAAACCTGTAAAAACCCCCAAAAGGTTGCTCTGCTTTGTGACACTGCTCAAACTGAGCTGCCTCTGTATCAGTTGCAGGAGGCAAGTGTGGGAGACCTGTCTAGGCCGAAAAGAAAGGTGACAAAGGCGGGTGATGTCTTAAGGATTTAAAGTTAAATTTCCACTTCTTTCTTTCCTTTTTTTTTTTGTCTAGGCAAGAACCTGAGGGGTTTTTATTCCCCCCCTCCTTGCTTTGTAGTTTGCCAGCAGGGTCATGCAGCGACCACTGTGTGAAGAGTCATTCCAAGACACCTTTGGAAGGGATCCAAGGCAGGAGGGAGTTCTGTCAGGCGTGTTTCCCATTCTTCACCAGCAGCTGCTCACAAGGGGTTTGTTGAGACCAGTGCTTTGTTGATGTTGGGTATAACCAGAGACTTTATTCTTTAGCTGAGTGGAGCTGACTTACATAGATGTTGGGAAGTCAGTACCTGACAGTCTCCGAAGGGAAAGGAGGATGTCACACCGGACCAAACCTGTCCAACAGGTTTCATGTGGTAACACATCCACCTCTTCTGCAGCCTCTGTGCGGGTTTTAAACTTGTCCAGCCCGGAGGAGCTTTGAAAATATTTAGGCAGTTGTTAAATGTGAGGTCTGGCATCCAGAGTGCAAAGGACCAGGCTGCCTCGTGTTCTGAATTTCTAAATATCAAGTGTCATCTGGTTGGGTAATGTCAGCTCTGTGGTGAGAGCAGCTGATCCAAACTCAGGGTGAGGAGTGGACCAGGCAGACAGAACCCACCTTGGGATTGTTTTTTCTTGGCTTTTGACAGCAGTTGCTGACAACCTTTGAACTATTCTTATTTCATGATCAGGCAATGCATGCAAGCATATATATATGCTTTACTTACATCATTAATAACTAAATAACATTTAATCATTATAAGCATATATATGCCTTGTTTGTACTTTTATATGTATATAAATGTGTGTGTGTTTATATATACATTTATACCATTCATATATACATGTACATGCATGTCCAGGGAGTACTTGGGGTTCTTTCATGTAAATACTGTCCTGTTCATCTCAGTCCTTGCTGGGCTGTCTCATGCATGCTTAAATTAGGGCAGATTTGCTCTGGAGTTCTTGCTTGCAAGGTGTACTCAGAGCTCTTTTCCTGGAATGTTGGCTGGGAGATCCAGGAGACTGATTTTTCTTTCTCTACAGAGGATAAATTGCTGTCCCCAGAAGGAATCGCCCGCAGGCCTGCTGGCAGGATGGCTTGTTGTCTAACCTGTGCAGGCAGGTGACAGCAGATCACCTCTTGTGAGGGCCTCTAGGGAGGAAAAAAAGCAGCTGTGCAGCATAAATCAGAACGTGGTGATTAAACAACCTGACCCAGACATGCTGAGGACAAGGAAACCAAGACAAGTCGAGTGGTGGAGTTTAGGGGTCCTTGCCTTGTTTGGGTGTTAATGTGCAAGGATAATAGTGGGTTATAGGGGGTTTTTTTTTATTAATCCATTGCCAGGAGCTGTATTAGGGGAATAAGAAGTGTTGTGTCTGCGTTAGAGATGGGATCTCCAGCCTTCCTACAGAGGTGCAAGGAGTTGTCACCTTCCCCTTCTCTCCCTCTCTGATTGTGTTTAGATCCAAGAGTGCTTTTGAGAGGCCCAGCCTACACAATTGCTCTTGGAGGCTCAGAGGAACATTTCTGCCTCTCTGTTACCTTGGATCCACTCTTTGCATACACCTTGGGTGATGAATGCTGGTTGCTCAGTTCCTCCACTCCTCCAGCTGGGTGTAAAAGCACTGGCATTTTGCAGCCCTCGTGAATCTGCCCTTCAGGAGTTCTTAAGAACGACCAAATCACCAGTCTCAGTTCTCCTTTCCAGTTTCCTAAAGTGGAGCTGAAGTTCACTGAAATATCTGATTACTTTCTGGATCCTTTCTGACTTCGCTTGGAGCTGGTAATCCTTTGTCCTTGGTGTTGGTGGTAAATATCCATCTGATCCCAACATGCTATTCCAGTGACAATTGACTGCCTGCTGTGCAGCAGATTTCTTCCACACTTTTTCCTTTTCCCAGTTGTATACTGAAGATTTTTGGAAGTCTCTTTCCTAGGAGTCTGTTGTTTCCTGCTGTGCCAGTGTCTGTGTGGATTTGGGCTGGTTTACATCCACATGCAGTAACTCGACCTGCTTTTACCTTGATTCCCTTTTGATTTCAGGTCATTGTTGAGATGATTATTTAGACAAATTAGCTTCTTAATTTGCTTCCTTTTTCTTGGTACTTGTGTGCCTTAACGTGGTTTCTCTAAGGAAACGCCAGTTCTCTTGAATTCTCTACCTTGGTGCTCAGTTCTTCCCAGTGAGCTGAAAAGGGAATTGTTTTCAGAGAAATCACCACTTTTACCAAAACGAGGCGTGAATTGTGTGGAAGCTGTCACGGTGGTGGTGACGTTTGGGATGTTTTTAGAAAGCCTGCTCTGATAACAGCGCGGGGAGGGCTTCCTGCAGCACCACTGTCCTTAAATAACAGCTCTGGCTTGGATCAGCACTGCCTGTTCTGAACTGAGCATTGAAACAAAATGTCCTAAACGTGCTGAAGAGTCGGCTCTGACATTTTTTTACAGTGTTACATTCGCATTTGTTTGTTTTGTGAGGAGGTGAACCCGGACATTATTTAAGAGTGGGAAAGGGGGTATTTTTGGAAATCTAATATCATGGGATTATCTCTGTTTCTTCAGCTGGAATTTCAGATAATCTGGTCAAGGCAACTGCTGTTTGCCTGCATAGTCTGGTGCCTGTGGAACCCATTTTGGGGAGGAAGACCCTTCCCATGCTCTCTGCAGCTGCTGCAGACTGTCAGTGCAAGACAAGTGTGAACTGGGAAGGTGCTGAGAGCAGGACAGTCATGGGTTTGTTTTCTCTGCACCCGGGGGGCTCAGGGGGGCTGTGCTGGGAGCTCAGTCTGAGCACTCTCCAGCATTTATGGCATCTATTGAATGTCCCTTGTCCCTCTTCAGGCTGCCCAGGGTTTTTCCCTGAGGATGGCCATGGGGAGGGCAGGTGATGCACTCAGCTGGATGCAGGGCACGGTTTCAGCCATGGTGTAATTTTTATGTTTCTGTGGGCTCGTGGAATTTTTTGTCTTCTTCCTCCTGGCTTCTTGTGGGCAGCCCAAGCTGCTGAGTGACAATTCATGTGTGTCACCACAGTTGTTTTTCTTCTAAATGCTTCCTTATATTTGCCTCTGCTGTCAAGAGAGAAGCCAAAGTCTCACCTCCAAATTATGAGAACATGGCTCCTCTTGGCATTCTTCGCTTTCTGCTGTTACTGCCAGTACTTTTCCTTGGGAAGAAACTTGCTCTTTGTCCTTCAGAAATTACACTTTTGCTCCCAAAGTATTGCTTACACCTCCACTGTAAAGCAAAGCAAACCAGAGCACTGGTGGATAAAGCTGTGGATTTCTTTGTGTGCTGGTCCAAAGTGTCACTTTGGAATCAGTGTGGGATTTGGCTGCTTGTGTTCTGAAAGCCCTGAGGGAGGTGGCTAAGCCCTGCAGGACAGTCACATTGTACAGTACTCTGGGCTTGGCAAATCCTCATCCTCTCCTGTATCCAGGGCAGAAGGGGAGGAGGTGGGAAGGTCTCCTGTTCCCCCTGGCTGTGCTGTGCAGGCCAGGTCAGAGTGTAGTACATCATTACACGTCTGTCCTTCAGGACTGGGGATCCAAATCCCTATAATGGGTCCTTAGGAAGTGGGATTTGCAGTCCACATCTGTACACTGTCTGTCTGTCAACCACTTCCCTTCAGCCTGACACAGGAGTGCTGATGTCTGGAACAGGTATTGGCATCCTGGCTGATGAAGAATCCCTGAGCTGAGGTGTGGGGAGGGACTAAAGCCAGGATGTTCTTGGCTTCACCTTGCTCTCTGTGTTCCCTCCTCAGCTGGGGTGTCCCCCTTGGCATCACAGTGGCAGCTGTTGCCCTGAAGAAGATTGGCTATGACGCCTCCAACGTTTCTGTGGGCTGGTGCTGGGTCAACCTGGATGCCCAGGATCATGTCCTGTGGATGCTGCTGACAGGGAAGGTGTGGGAGATCCTGGCCTACGTGACCCTGCCAGTGCTCTACATCCTCATCAAGAAGCACATCAGCAGAGCAGTGAGTACTGTGCTGTGTTCAGCTGGGCTTGCAGACTCGCTCTGTGGTCCTGCCCTGCCATGCTCTGCAGGTTTTGGGCCACATTCAGCAGCTGCACAGGCAGGAACTGCTTCACAACCCTGCAGTGTCCCCACCCCTGGGAGCAGCATCACCACACAGTGACTTAGCACAAGGATGTAAAAGCCTTTTGAGGACATAGCAGGGGTCGTGGGATGTTCATGAGGGAAATGCTCAGTCCTAGGTAGGAATTGAAACAGGGCACGAAGGACAAAATCCCACTTTAATCGCTGTTCAGCAGTTCCACTTGTGCCCAGACTGGACTTACCTAACCTCGGTCCTTGCAGTATCAGTAAGGATAGTCTGTGTTTATGAATGGTTTGTGCTGGCAGCATAAAGCACTGTTTGGGAGTCTGGACACTCTGTGGCAATAGGTACCTCACACACACTGCACAGGAGACACCCTGGCCCAGCAGGGTTTTGGAATTCAGAGCTTTAGTTGTTGCTGTTCCTTGTGAACACAGAGAATTAAAGCATCTGGGAAAGCATTTGCATAACAGAGACATCTAGATTGAGAGTGCCAGAAGGAACTGCATTCAGGGTTTCCTTTTTTTCCCCCTCTAAGTTGTATTAGAGTTAAAAAAATCCCCTCCCACACGTGGAAGGGAAAACGCTGCCACTGCACTTGTGGTGCAGCTGTGGCAGTTGCTGGAAGGGATGAACACAAACCTGGTTAGGACAGAGCTGGAAGAACAGGGTAGTTTTAAGCAGCCCAAAGTGTCCTGGGAAAGAGGAGTTGGGAAGGGTTTGCTCGTGCCTGTCAGCACCACCTGACGTAACCCTGACAGGACACTGTGTCCCAGCTGCTGTCAAAGATAGAAGTGTGACCTCCTGGAAACCTGACCCCCCCAAAAAAAAAAAGGCTGGGCTGATGCTCCTGCTCTGCCAGGGATTCCTGGGAACTCTGCTGTCCCTCCCCACTCCAGCCCTGAGCCCGTCCTGGGAGCAGGGCTGAGGGCAGGCAGCAGTCACTGCTCTCACTTGGGGGTCTGAGGGTCTGGAGCAGCTCCTTGAGCCTTCTGGGCTCCATCATCTCCCCCCTCTCCTCATCCCTGGGGACTTTGCCAGGCCTGGAGCTGCTTGCTGAGCTTCTGAACTGGCAGGGAGTCCCCCACTTCCAAGGGAGAGCAATAGGCAACCAGAGCAGGGCTTGGGCTGGGTTTTGGCTGAAGCAGCACCGCCCCAGCAAAACTATTTTGTGGAGCACCAGGTTTTTATTTATATTCTTATAACCTGTCTCAAACATCACCCAGTGATGTTTGCAAGTATAAAGCTTTAGTGGGACTCTGACAAGGGCTGGATCTCCCTCATTTGCCACTCCCTGGCTTCAGCAGCAACGTTTGTGCTCGCAGAGTGTGGCCACTGCTCAGAACTGAGCCCCTGTTAAGATTTAGCTTGCTCTGGAAAGAATCCCTGGAGCTGAATGTGCAGCGTGTGTAGGTTTTTGTTGACGTTTGCTCTCTCTGCCCCTCCCTGGAAGCATGCAGCTCTCTCAGAGTACCGCCCCATCCTCTCAGGGGCACCTGCATTCCAGCCCCGGACTTCCATAGCGGACAAGAAGTTGGTCCTCATCCCTGTCATCTTCATCTTCCTCCGCATCTGGAGCACCGTGAGGTTCATCCTGACCCTCTGCAACTCCCCTGCTGTGCAGAACTCAGTCCTGGTGGTCCTGCATGTGAGTATTCGCCGGGAAACGCATCAGGAGGAGGATGTGGGAGGGACACGAGGTTTTGGTGCTCTTGATGTCACAGGATGCTGGTGCTGTGAGAACACCTGCTCCCTGCTGGCAAGTGCTGCCCTGCCCGGGATGCTCAGCCCCAGCAGTGATTCCAGCAAGGGCAGTGATTCCAGCAGTAGCTGCTGCAGCAGCATCTAGTGGCTGCAGAATAAAGCTGCAGTGGGGAGGGATGGACGGCGCCAGCTGCCTGTAGGAGCAGCTCAGACCAGGAATGTTGGGTGTCTGTCCCTCAGGAGAGCTCAGCCTGCTCCTGCCCTACCCCAGGCTGCAGCAGTGCCAGCCCACAGCAGCTCTCTGCTCTGCTTTTAGGGGTGCTTTTCCTGGAAAAAAAAAAAAAAAAAGAAAAAAACAAGCTTAATTTTTCTGAATTTGTTTTTCTCGTTAAGGTGAAGTTGGTGACTGTCACGCAGCTGGTCTGACACGATGTTTGCTCCTCTCTTGGGGAGGGGGGTGTCTGGAGGAACAGCACTGGTTCATTCCTTTCTTGCCCTTGCAGGGAATTGGTAACACGTTCCAGGGAGGTGCCAACTGCATCATGTTTGTGCTCTGCACTCGGGTGGTCCGAGCTCGGCTGCTTTCCTTCATCTGCTGCTGCAAACACGACGAGCTGGAGTGGCCTTGGCAGAGATCAAACAGCTCCTGGCAGCGCCCAGAACCCCCCAAGGATGTGCCAGGCCCTGAGCAGACAAAGCCACTGCTTCCCAGCACCTGAGCTGCCTCCACCTCGGTGTCGAGTCCTCCTTTCATGGTAAAAAAAACCTCAGTGTGAGTCTTTCCTCCTTCTCTGCTTCATGGTCCGAGGGGTGGGCACGGCTATCAGTAGGCAGCTGGCAGAGGGGGGGGTTTTCTGCTGCTGCTGGGGGGATTCCCTGTCTGACTTTGCAGGTCCTAAACCATTTACAGAACTGTTCCACCCCTCCTTCCCCTGAGCTGGGGTGGTGTTATTCCAGCTGTTACTGGAGCCTGTAAAATGAGGAACTGCAGGGCTGTCTGACCCTCAAACACAGGACACCAGTGAAAGCTGAAGAAGAGGAATGAGTGGCTCTTTTTTGATGCAGAGTACCATGTGCACACACATTTCATCAGCACTGCACAGTTCAGATGTTCAGTGCCCCGAGTTTTGCTCGTGAGGGAACACAATCCCTGCTGCCAGTCATCATGAAAGGGAAAAGGAGGGGAAGTGATTCACCCAAGCTTGCCTAGAAAGTCTCTAGGAGCAAAAATATGACAGAAGCTCTTAGGATGGGGCAGTGATGTCCTTGCATTGCTGTGTAAGCTGGGATGCACTGCCTCTTCAGAGAGAGTATGAAACCATCTGTGCTCCTGCAGTTGTACTCACCCTGCAGGTCACACTCAGTCCAAAGGGCTCAGCCTGACAGGAGCTGCCTGCCTGGGCCGTGGGGATGGCAGGGGAGGAGCATCCTGGAGAGAAGGGGCTGTTGGGGATGGCAGAACTCTGAGCTGGACCTCTCCTGTGTCCATCTCCTCCTCCTTCTCCTCCCAGACCACACAGCCCCCCAAAAAACCAGCCAGGGCTCTTTCTTTTTAATCAGTTGACATTTTTGGTTTGTACACCAGGTTTTTGCAAACAGACCAGGAGCCCTGTGAGCTGTATGGGGAGGCAGGGCAGCTGTCTGGCTCCCTCCCCTCCGGGCCCCTGGCTGTTCCCAAGCTGCTCCTATTAGTTTATTTTAGTCACGTTAACAGCAAGCACAACAGTTACATGATCCAGAGCTCTTAGGGGACTGTAGGCAGAGGCAGGTCCTTTATTTCCTGAAGCCTTGGCATTAGCTTTATTATTATATTAGTATATTTAAGCCTTGTGCTGCACAGGCTGTGTAAACACAGGAGGTGAAGCTCTCAAGAGCTCAGAGCCCATTTAAAGGGGATGCAGAAGGGCTCTGCTCTTTACATCCCTGGAGTCTTTGAGAGGTAGGTGGAAACATCTTATCTTTGCCATAGATAACTTCAAGAGGTTTTTTTTGGTTGTTTTTTTTTTTCTCCTTTCAAAAGGCTTTTTTAAGCTTCTAAAAGCTAAATAGCAACCTGGGTAGCTCAGCTTCGTGTTAGTCCCGTGAGGCCTGGAAAGAGGAGCTGTGTTAAACTTCTTGTAGGAAGGCAGAATAGTCATTTTTCAATTTTAGGAGATTTGGTGTTATGCTGTGTTCTGTTTTTTGGAGCCAGCCCTGAAGAGAGAAAGTAAAATTGTCGCCAAGTTGGCTTAAGGGAAAACAAAGCAAAACACACACACAAAAACCCAACACAAAAAAATCAACAAATCACATTCCATGTTCTCAGTTTGCCTTTTTCCATTACAGAGCTCTGAGAAATGCTTTTGAAGGAACGTGCAGCTCACCAGAACATGGTTCCAGCTCCAGGGGTTTCAGGGAGGCACGCTGGGCTGTAAACACCAGCGAGGGGCCACAGTGGAAAGTCTGTGACATCTCTGACATCCTCCTGTCAGCAAGGGCAGGGAAAGAAAAACAGCCAACAGAGGAGCTCTTAGAAATGCCTGTGGGTCCTAACACTGAAGTTGAGGGTGGCCTAAATAGGAAGGGAGATGGGCTGATAGGGGAGGTGACTGTGGAAGTGCCTGGCTGCTCCTGGCAGGCATCCCTGGATGAGGTGTGAGTGCAGGGCAGGTGCCTCAGTTGCCTGTGGGGATGGCTCTGACCTCTCCCCTGCCTGGCATGCACTGGAGAATTCCAGCTCAGGTGTTTCTGGAGGTGGCTGAGGTTGTGGTGCCAGGCTGGGCTTTAGGAATGGGTCCATCATGCCCGTTCCAGCTGCTCCAAGATGACATCCCTGGGGTTGGAGCTGCAGCAAAGCCTCTTCCCCTGGCTCGGGGCAAACCTGGCACAGGCTGGGCCAGGCCCTGTGCAAAGGCTGCAGGGTGAGGGGACACTCCTGGGCTGTAACTGTGCTTCCTTCTGTGCAGGTGTGGGATGATCCCGGAGTCCCACAGAGGGAGCTAAAGCCCGGGGAAAGGCGCCGCTGGAGAGGCTGAGCAGATGGAAAAGGTCCCGCTCCTCCTTGCACTCACATACCAAAGGCTTCGGGTCTTCGACTTTGCTCAGGATCCTCTGGAAGGGACTGTTGGACTATACTCCAGTTTCCTGGTTTTCTCCCCTTCTTCCCCTCACCCTCCACTGTAAATCTTAAAAATCGGTTTGGGGTTTTGCTTTTCTATTTGACGAGGCGAACTGTGTGGTGAGTTCTGAGGTGAGCGAATATCAAGAGGACAGGAAAACTTCAGTAGCTGCTGAATGGGACTGTGCTGGGCATGGATTTCAGTCCCAGTGTGTGAATCTTCCCGGGGAGCTCCAGGCTGGCTCCCGTTCTTCACTGGAACACGGACAACAATGTGCAAACAAACGTGTTTGTTTGGTGGTGGTGGTGGTGGTGGTGGTGGTGGAGGGTTCCTCTGCATGGCTTATTCCTCCTCCTGGATGGTTGGGAGCCATCCAGGTGCTCAGGGGTGTTCCCCAGAGCCTCCAGCATGGACAGCCCTCCCAGCAGTGCCTGGCCAGTGCCCTGAGCTCCAGAGGTCCAGTGCTGAATGCTGCAGCCTGTTCCTGCTTTGGGAGCATTGCATCAGACCTGGGGAGGGGACGCGGTTTTGTTTGCTATTTGCAGATAATGTTTTACCTTATTTACGGCTCCTCATTTGCCTGAGTTTAAAATATTTCTCTGACCTGTACAAAATAAAGTTTTGTTTCTTTACCAGGACCCTGCCCAGCGTTGCCTTTGTGAAGAGAAAATAGGGTCTCATTTGCTTCTCGGTTTCAGAAGCCCCATGTCTGCTGCTGTTCCCTGCAGAGTTCCTATTCCTGGGGGATCAGACTGCCATATCTACCTCTTGCTCGCTTGACTGGAAGCCTTTTATGCAGCTGATAAAGCAGTGTTTGTACATATGACTTATTTCCAGGCAAATCATTTATTTCTTTCTTAAATCATCGCTTCAGCTGGAGGCCCCAGTTGTGTAGCTCAGTGCCCCAGGTTATGCTCAGGACTGCATATGACACCTGAGCAGTGACTGAACACGCAATTCCTTCCCAAAGTGCAGGTGGAAAGGCTGCTGATGTCACTCTCTTGGTGTGGGATGTCTCCTAACAAGCCCCCTCGGGGCAGGCATTGCAGTGAGCACACTCTGCAGCACACTCTGCCTGCCAGCTCCTAATCCAACCAGCGCTTTCCTGGAGCTCACCACTAAAGTGCTCCAGCAGATTTGATGTCCTGAAAGCTAAATTAATTTTCCCCTCACCCCCCAAAGATACCAGGGTTTCATAGGATCCAGCTTTTAGCACGCACAGTTGGGCTGTGAGTGTAAACAAACCCCTGCACAAGAGCTTGGGAGCTCTTGCCATGTGGTGGGCAAGTGCTGAGGAGGGAAGATCCAGAGGTGAGTTAATGTCTTCAGGCAAACACTCTCTGGGATGAAGGGCAGATGGAAGGAGCCCAATGCTGTGCAGAAGCTGAAATGGAAAATGTGCTTTTCAAATGCTTGTAAAATGGGCTCTTTGCTTCTTCCTGCCTCTGTCCTGTGCCCAAGTCCAACAGGATCTCAAGTGCTGAAGGTGTCACACCCCTGCAATTGCTTTGAAAGTCCCAGGGGAAGATCGTTCACCACCCTGTCTCCCTTCATCAATCCCTTCCAAGGTCAGCCCAGTGCCAATTACTACCTCAGGGATGTGATCAGATTCCTGCTGTGTTTGGCAAATCCTCAACCTGTTCTGCTGCCATAAGCACATATTTAGTCTGATGTAGGATTTCCGATGGCAAACCTACATGTACTCTTTGATTTCTGCATGTTTTGAGTTTATTCCTTCAGGGATAGGAATTTAAAGACCACGACAGAGAATTCTCCTTCCTTGCAATTACTGAGTGTCAGAGCAGTTGTCATTCTGCCAAGAGCTCCCAGCAAAATGATGGTGCCTTTAAAGAACAGTAATTCTATGGAGGAAAATTGACCTTTTTTTTTTTTTTTTTTTTTTTTTTTTTTTTTTTTTTTTTTTTTTTTTTTTTTTTTTTTTTTTTTTTTTTTTTTTTTTTTTTTTTTTTTTTTTTTTTTTTTTTTTTTTTTTTTTTTTTTTTTTTTTTTTTTTTTTCAGTTTTCCCACTCCAGGGGCAGAATTTTCCCTCTTGGCTAAAGATCTGAGAGGGTGAGAACACCACCAGTTGCTGACTGAGCTGTAATCTCAGCAGGTGTGACACAGGAGTGTTCTTAAGGTGGGATCCACCACCAGATATCTCAGAGAGCTATGTCCTTAGGGTTGTTCACTGATAACAAAGGCAGTGAAAGATAAATTCTACTCTAAAAGTAGCAGGGCTCTGTCTCCTTCCACGTGGAGGGAGGGAGGCTGCAGCAGTTCAAGAACATGAGCAGGACACGTGGAAAGGAGCTGTTGCCCAAGACAGCCAGTTAAGGAACACAAGCAGTACACGTGGAAAAGAGCTGTTGCCCAAGAGGGTGTGGGTTTTTAGGCTGCCTGTTAAAGGCAGCTGGAGCAATTAACAGGAGGCTTGGTTTCTCTCCAGCTGCTGGGGCCATCCGTGAACTTTGCATTTCTCTGCTGAACTCTATAAATTGTAGTCGACCATTAACCAGGCCCTGGACTGTTCAGAGCACCCTCGTAAGGTAGGAGGTTAATGCCGAGCCAGCAGCACGTGGGGCTCCTGTTGCATGCAGAGGGAAAGGAACACAAAGTGCTGGTGGAAAATCTCTGCTCTGTCAAGACCACAGCTCTGAGAGGATGAACCTGTGAACTGCAGAAGTGCCTGAGCAAGGTAGGACAAGGAGCAGGTGCCATTTGTGGCTGCAGGGGGGTTAATGGGGTTCACTTGTATGCCTGTGCCATATGGCAAACGCCCTCTCTGCTGCTGGGGCTGCTCCCTCAGAATGCCCTGTTTTTCCCTGAATTCCACAGCTGCTGGGCAGCCTCTCCAGCTGTGCCACCCACAGCTGCCCACGGGCTGCAGGGTGGAAGGGGCAGCAGCTCTGGGCTGTAGATCCACTTCTCCCACATCTACGAACCAGCTCATTTAGCAACCTGGGCAACAAATCCGCCCCTTCCCGCTGGAGATGAGCCTGTTTGCCCTGTAACTGGCAGCACCTCTGTTTGAAACAGGTTCTGGTGACAGAAACCCGACCCAGCAGCGACAGGCTCGAGCAAGGGGAAAGGAATCGAAGAATGGTCAGGCAACAGGGACTTGCTCCAGCTGATAGAGCCTGTCGTTGATTGGATGTGTTTGGAAGAGTCACAGAGGGGGATTTTCTGCGTGGGGGCGTTTCCATCCCCTGCCTTGGCCGTTTGGGCTGCACAAACCTGCACTGCAAACGCTGCTGGTGGGATTCCAACGCCAACATGAAGCTGAAAGGAGGGGAGCAGGAGAGCTCTGAGCGCAGTGAGGGTGCAAAGGGGGTGAGTATTGTTGACTCTCTGCTTCCAGCTTGAGCCTCCCACAGAGACACAGAGCGAGCTCTTGGAAATCTCTGGGTGCCTGTAGAGAAAGGGGAAGATCTTTTGGGCTGACACATCCGCAGGGAGGGCAGAGACAAGTACATTCTTGAGCCTTGTTTATGTCTGTCTGCAGGGCAGTGTTGCACTGGGTGCTGTGATTTTCTCTCTGTCTGCAGCTCACCCAGCCTGTAACTTGTGTGTGACTTCCCCCTTCTGTGTGTGAGTTTTCTTTCCTATTGTCTCATCAGTTTGAGGCTGCAGTTTTAGTTTTCTGGATGGGGGTTGCCTTTCACAGCAGTGTTTGTGGAGTCTTGCACAACAAAACTTTCCTGTGTGCCAGGAAGGGCTTGAACGTGAATAATTAGCACCAGTGGCTCTTCTGAGCTTCTGGGATTTGGTTAATGAGAGCAAGGCAGCTGCTTTTCATCACCAGTGTGAGAATGTCATCAGTCTGCTCCTAGAAAACAGAGTGGGAAGCCTCAGCTTCCTCGTGATCCTTGCTCTCAGATCCAGTTGAATTTTGATCTCCTGCAATGCCTTAGATGAGCTCCTGCAGATTCTGAGGAATAGAAAGAAGCACCAGCAGGTATTTGGGCAAATGTTCAGCTGGGGAGGTGACAGGTCCCTCATGTGGGACCTGAGCTGAGCGCTGGGACGTAAAACCTTGCAGACATTGAGGCTGGAGGAGATGGAGACAGAAAATGCATCTGAATGGAAAATGACTTTATTGGCGTGGCAGCAAGGAGATGCATTAGTGAGCTATAAAAACCAACCCAACAGAAACCCAACAACCCAACTCTGTCAACACAGCCCAGGGCTGAACAGCAACTAAACTGTTGTGAAAAGCAGGTTGTTTGTAACCCTGAGCACCGTGTATCCACAAACGTGGTGTTTGATCCCTCTCCAGATGGCAGTTTCACTCTCCTGGTTAACTGCAAAGTGCAGCTCTTGTACCCCACAGCCAAGCCCTCACTGAGCTACTTGGAAAAGTTCTAATTGGCTTCAGTGACGATCAATTAGACCCATAAAAAGCTTGGTCCCAAAATGTGGGAAGCAGAAAAAAATTACCAGGAAAGGGATTTTGCCACCTGATGCAAAATCACTTCTTTTTTAAAGCTTTCCTGTGCCAACATCCTGTGTTGTTTCCCTACCCAATTAGCATGTTGGAAAAAGAATAATTGCTTACAAGCTTTTTTCCCCGTGGGGCGGTGTTTTAAGGATGATAACTTCCAAAAAAACAAAAAAAATATTTAATCATCCAAGTGATTCATCAATACCAGCAGAGTGAATTACCGTAATGACCATGTGCAAATCAAGCAGAACAAAAACGAGTCGTAATGAAAACAGCCCACTGGGCTTTCATGTGCAGTTAAATTAAGGGAAAAAAAACGTAGAAAAGCAAGACTTAAGGTAATTCTTCATTTTTACTGAGTGTCATTAATGCCTCTGAGCCAGACCTGCATCTAAGGTGGGGTTTGTTTGATTTCTTTCCCCTCCACAGAAAATGACAGTTCTCCTTGCCCTGGTGGCTCTGATATCTGGCTTTGGATCTTCTTTCCAGTACGGCTACAACGTGTCTGTGATCAACTCTCCAGCCCCGGTAGGTTGGTCTGTGGAGCGGCCCCTGACTCAGCAGTGGGTTTGCAAACACTCTTGGGAGGAGGCTGACAAACAGAAGGAGTGTAACAGTTCATTACAGGGGTTTGGGGGCAGGTGCTTGTGCTCTGAGCTCAGGAGAGATGAACTGTGAGAAATGCACCCCCTGTCCTCTGGGAACCAGGCACAGCCTGCAGCTCAGGATCACTTGCAGTCACAATTCCCTAGCCCAGGCTTCTCTACCCTTCTCTTGCATCCCTTTTCCCACTCACCTATTCTGGTTTCTTTATCAAGACATTCATTTAAAGCTTTATGGCATTTGTTGTTAATTGGCTTTTCCAGCACAAGAACTGTCCCTACTGTGCTCAACGTGCTCTGTGTTTCGTTCCAGTACATGCAAGACTTTTACAACCAAACCTACCTGGCCAGGACGGGGGTGCCCATGAACAGTGGCTTCCAGACACTGCTCTGGTCTCTTACTGTGTCCATGTTCCCCCTGGGTGGCTTTTTTGGGTCCCTGCTGGTGTGGCCCATGGTCAACAACTGTGGCAGGTACGTGTCAGCCGTGTCTGGGATATCTCACCCAAAATTGCCGGGCTCAGATAAGACTTGACTCGCTGGTCACTCCAGCTTGCCCAGCCCAGCAGGAGGATGAATTTCCCACACACACCCCTTGGCGGTAAAGCAGATGGGATGAGGATGAGTTGCTGGGCTCACCTACACGTGGTGTCTCCCCAGGGTGAAGGAATTTATATGGTTTCAGGATGGTCAGGGCCAGGCTGTGTGCTGGGCACTGAGCCAGGCAGAGAGCAGTGATGGAAGTGCTGGGCTGAGACCAGGCCCAGCAGCTCCTGCTGCTCAGAGTTCCTGAGAAACTTCAGTTCTTTCTGGAACCCTCCATTCCCTGCAGGAAAAATGGGCCAATTGGCATTTTCTCTTGGATCATGAGTCTTTGGGGTTTGGGACAGCATTGCACCTGAGGCCTTAAAAACCCAAACTGAATGTCTCTTTTTCTGTTACTTCGCAGAAAGGGCACTTTGCTGATAAATAACCTCTTCTCCATCTCTGCTGCAATCCTCATGGGAACCTCAGAGCTAGCAAAAACCTTTGAAGCAATCATCCTTTCCCGTTTCATCATGGGAATTTATGCTGGTAAGTGCACGGTAAAGGGAGAGCCATAAATGTTTGCTCGGCTGTGTGAAGGTGTTTTATTCTCCCAGCAGATGCTCTCACAGGCAGCACATTTCAGCATCTGCCTAGCAATGCTGTGCTTTAGCACTGGTCATCTGCATGTTGCAGAAGTACTAAAGGTCTCCTGGAGATAAGGGCCCTGAGACTGGAATTTAAGATGTGAGAGGAGATGTGTGCCTGCAGGTGAACCTCCCCTCTGCAATAAACATCTGCTAGGCACTGCAGCTCCCACAGCCAGGCAATCTGCTGCTGATAATCTCTTTCCCCAGACAACTTAAAGCAGGTAGTCTATTTTTTTATTTTTTTTTCCCCCTTTTTAACATAATCAGAATAATCCATCAAAGTCGTCGGAGTCAGTGCCAGATCCAATAATCCACTCCTGGAACTGACTGTTCTTCCTGCAGGAGAGAAGAACTGTTAAAAGGGAGAAACAAAGAGCTCAGAGACACTGGATTTACTGCAAAGATAGTGGGAAGCCAAGGATATAAGTGTGTTGCTGGTGTAAGTGGCTTTTTTTAGAGCTGCAGTAACAGGGAACAAACAGAACCCTGGAATTCTGGGTACCCCGTGCAGGGCTGGGCAGAGCCAGGTCTGGAAGAGTCCTAAGGGCATTTAGGCTCAATTAATTGGCTTTGGGCTGGCGAGACTCACGTGCTCCACAATTTATTAGTGAGTTGGGATATCCTGTAAAGATAAATTTCCTGCCTTAGCTCAGTGGCTGTAATTGCTGCACGTTACACATTAAGTTGCTTTCCTTGGGTAGCTTCTCGTTTTCCAGTTTATCTCCTCCAGTGGTTTTATTTTGCCTTTTGACTCACCTGAACCTGGCAGCTGCTCTTAGCACTGGAGCTCAGAATAAACGCTGAGGGACCTGTTCAGTGTGATCCCTCTTTCCAGTTATTTATAACCCACAAAGGAATCTGGACTAGCTGTGTCCTGACTTGTCCTTAGCTTGACCAGGCTTGGATGTTTTTCCTGGGGAGGGAAGCTGCTGAGCCCAGCCAGGCTGCCTTGGAATCTGGGAGGATCCAAGTGCCACCCTCCAGGAGGATCCAAGTGCCACCCTCCAGCACTGGTGACGCTTGTTTCCATGCCTTTTAGCTTTCAGATAGCAGCTTGGTCACCCCTGTAACCCCAAGCTCCCGAAGCCCAGGACCTCTAGAAATGTCAGATGAGAGCCTCACCCGGTCATTTGAGCCCGGGAGTTTGGGTTTTGCGTGCCAGGGTTTACAGCGCAGGCAGGGAGCTGGCAGCTCGCTGGGGTTACTGTGGGTAGGCGGGGTAACGTTCCTCAAAATAACCCGTGCCCTCGGTGCCCTGATTGGATTAGAAATCCCTGTTCCAGCACTCCACCTGCAACACGTCTCAGACCAGCAAAGCTCTCTGAGCAGCGAGTTTTTAAAGGCCAACACGGAGTCGTTTCCTTCCACCCTCACACTGGTTTGATTGGATACTGGTTCCTTTTCTTGTTTTGGAGGAGGTGAAAGTTCCTCCCTTACACAGTTTTCATGTGTGTGTCGTGTGCTGAAGTGCCTGCTGGGAGAAAGCTGCTTTTAGGGAGCTGAACACAGAGCTCTCGAATCATCTGCTGGCTCTGTGGGCTCACCCTCTGACTCCTCAAATGCTTTGCTGCTGAGCAGTTAATAATCCTGACACCCAGAGCACCAGGAGATGGTCTGATTGCACTCCAGAGCCAGAGCCCCTGAGGGCACCAGAGCCAGGGGTGGGTGTTGTACCTCTCCACATACTGAGTGACCCAGAAGTTGGTTCATCGTGAATCTCTTTTGCCCCCCATGGGAAAACAGCACCTTGCTGGAGGTTGTGAGCGTGCTGTCACCAGGCAGCTGCACATCTAACGCTGCTCTCTCGCTGCCAGGCCTGGCTTCCAACGTGGTTCCCATGTTCCTTGGAGAAATGTCCCCCCGGAATCTCAGAGGGGCCATTGGGATAGTCCCACAGCTCTTCATCACCGTCGGGATCCTCGTAGCTCAGATCCTTGGCCTCAACAGCATCCTGGGGAATGCTGAAGGTGAGGCTCTGGCTGGGGACTTCACTGGGGGCTCCACAGGGGTGGGATTGCTCACAGTTGTCCTCTTGTCCCCCTGCTCTCAGGCTGGCCTGTGCTGCTGGGGCTCACCGGGATCCCATCGCTGATCCAGCTCCTGACGCTGCCCTTCTTCCCCGAGAGTCCCAGGTACCTGCTGCTCCAAAAGGGCAACGAAGAGCAGGCACGACGAGGTACAGTGCCATCCTTTCGATGGAAGGGGAGATGGAACGGGGCGGATCTGACGGGGGGACACCTCTGACAGCAAAGCGGGAAATTCCTCACTGGTGGTGGAGGTGGAATTCTTGCAGCGTTGCTCCTTTCTCTGCACGTGTGGATCTCCAGCTTCCCACCGTGGAAGCCCTGCTGCCCAGAGCTACCTATTGTTGTGTCTTGATTGGGAGCAGCACTTGTAAAACTCACTTTCCTCTCCCAACTAGCCTTGCAGAGGCTGAGAGGCTGGGATGACGTGGATGACGAGATAGAAGAAATGTTCCAAGAGGGCCAGTCAGAAAAGGAAGAAGGGCAGTTCTCTGTGCTCAGCCTGTGCACCTTCAGAGGCTTGAGGTGGCAGCTCATCTCCATCATTGTCATGATGATGGGCCAGCAGCTCTCCGGGGTTAACGGGGTGAGTGGGAAGCGGGAAAGGCAGTGGGGTAGAAAGGAAGGGATGGATGAAGTTGATGATGTGGGGCAGTGCTGACACAGGAGATAAAACCCAGGACACAGGAGTGCCCCTTCATCCAGGACACTGGTTCATGTTGTGATGGGTTGACCCATCACTGGCCAGTACCAAATCCAGCACAGACAGGTACAGGGTCAGGGTCATATACAGATGCAGAGTCAGGCTGCCCTGTTAAGGATAATTTGGATGTTTTTGGAGTGCTTGGGCCTGGATCCGAACAACAACATCTCCAGAAATAAAATAAGTGCTCCAGTGACAGGATGTAAAGCAGCCAAAATGGGATTCCCAAGTTCTGCCCTTGGCCACATCCAAACACAGCTGTGGTTTTGCTGCAGGTCTTCTACTACGCCGACAGGATCTTTGAGTCAGCAGGTGTGCCCAGCAACAGCATCCAGTACGTCACTGTGTCCATAGGTGCCATCAACGTCGTCATGACTTTGCTTGCTGTGAGTTTCTGTTGGGGCTCTCTGAGCTCTGACTTGTCTCCCCTGACTGTGTCTGTCTAATTTACATTCATCAAACCAGAGAATCCCAGAACGATCTGGGCTGGAAGGGACCTAAAAGATCAGCCTCGTTCCAACCCTCTGCCCCGAGCAGGGAAACCTCCCACTGGAATGTGATTTGCACATGGTGTGAGGTGCTTTGCACAGTAGGTGCCCTGTGGTGTCCCTTGGTTGAGGGCACCTGGAATAAGAGACCCCAGGTGTTGGGTCTCTCACCCTCTCCTGTCTCTTCCAGGTTTTCATTGTGGAATCCCTGGGGAGGAGGATCCTTCTCCTCGCCGGCTTCGCGTTGTGCTGTGCTTCCTGTGCCGTGTTAACCCTGGCCCTCAACCTCCAGGTATGTACAGATGGCTCAGGGTGATCCTCCCCAGGCATTTCTGGACTTCCCAGGGAGCAGGCCAGGGGTATATTTTGAAGTACATCTTGAAAAGCTGTGATCCTGCTTGTCTGAACACTGCTTCCAGCGTGTCACGTTCCTAATACCCCTTGCATCTGTTTGCTGGCAGCGAGGATCATTCCCAGGCTGCGATTTTGTGGCTCATTATGGACATATCTGGCATTGGAGGGCGACACTGGCTTTAGAACACCTTCAAATCTTACTACAAGTAGTGCCTCGGACGTGTTGGGGGTGTTCAGACGGGAACCACATCTAACCTGTGATTCAATCCTTCACAGACCACCGTGTCCTGGATGTCCTACCTCAGCATAGCCTGTGTCATTGTTTACATCATCGGACATGCCGTGGGACCCAGTAAGTACGCACAGCCCGTCCAGGCTGCTCCACAAGCAGGCTGAAGCCAAGGGCTATGTTCCATTTCAGCCCAAAACCTTTGTGGAGCTCATCCATGGGCACTGAATTTCACCTCTGTGTGGCCACACACCGTGCAAGTCATTTAATTGCCCTGGTTTTTTGTTTGTTTGGCTTTGGTTTTGTTCTTTTATTTAGTCCTTATTTGATTTATTGTCTGCTCCTAAACACTTAGAAACCATTGCCTGCCACTGAAATGGTTGGACCATTTTTTTTTTTTTTTTTTTGGAATGTTTTGAACATTTGAACAAATGGTTGAAATGAAAAAAAAACCCCAAAGACTGTAATTAAGAATTCAGAGTGGAGGAACTGCCCTTGGGGTTTCCAAATGTCCAAACTGCCTTCCAGGTCCGGTTCCCTCTGTCATGATCACCGAGATGTTCCTGCAGTCGTCCCGGCCTGCAGCCTTCATGGTGGGAGGGTCTGTGCACTGGCTGAGCAACTTCACCGTGGGGCTTGTGTTCCTCTACATGGAGGTGAGATACAACCCCACAGCAGGGCACAACTGCAGCTCAAGATCAGTCCCTTCTCCCCTGTTTAATCCCAAAAGCTGCAAATGCCCCTGTTGGTTCCCAGTACCTGCATGTAGGATTATATGTTAAGGGCAAGGAACTGATGTTCAATCAGCATTTTCTTATCACCCCTGTCTGCTGCACAGGCTTTAAAAGAAAGCAGTTACTTTGCCAGGTGAGTGTCTCATCCTGAACTCAGGAGTGTGGAAAAGATGGCAAATTCCCTGTCTATCTTCCCCTGGGGGATGGGAGCAGGTGTGTGTCTCAGGAGGCCAATTTTAGTTTTGATCTCTGCATCCCCCAGTTCAAACTGATCCCCATCACTGACTCGTAAACTGCAGCAGGTGCTGACTTCAGCCTCTGCAAAGGCAGCTGGTGAGCTCAGTTTGGTTTAGTTTGAATTAGCTTGATTCACCCTCCTTTTCCAGCAAATTCGTGGTGTTTCCAGTAAGCCCATGGTGGTTGTATGAGAAGACAGAATCCACCCCAACTTTGAGTTTTCAGCTCAAAATACATGCAACACCACCGTGGCTGCATCTTTTATGGCCAGTGCAGGATTCACCATGTCCCAGCCATGTAACTGCCCACCTGGAATGTTTCCCTGATCCCTGCTCTCTCCTGTCCTTGCCCTAGGCTGGCCTGGGGCCCTACAGCTTCCTCATCTTCTGTGCCATCTGCCTGGCCACTGCGCTTTACATCTTCTTCATCGTTCCCGAGACCAAGAACAAAACCTTCATGGAAATCAACAGGATCATGGCCAAGAGGAACAAAGTGGAGATTCAGGAAAACAAAGAGGAGCTGAAGGATTTCCGCACCGCCCCGGGCGGGCTGGGGGAGAGGACGATGAGCTCCAGCAGCCAGCTGTGAGCCAGCCCAGTGTCTGGCCTGGCAGGGACATCCCTCAGCATCTGTTCAGCGGGAAAACAAATCCGTTGATTCATCGTTTTTGATACTGCTCTGAGAATCATAGAATCCTTAAGGCAGGAAAAGACCTTTAAGATCGAGTCCAGGTGCAAACCTAAAACGCTGCCAACTCCACCTCTTGTCACCGGGAAAGGACAATGTCCTCAGCCAGCTCAGTTCCTGTCACCAGGTAACCAGTGTCCCTGATGTCCTGACTGACACACCTCGGGAGACACAGGCCAGCCCTGGGGCTGGGTTTGGGTCAGGCACGTGCAAGGAGTGCACCACACTCCTCTGAGGAACTGTCACTCGTGTATTTGAGGGTCCAGCATGGGGAAACTGAAGTTAAATTGTTATCTGAGGGTGCTGCCCTCTGTTTTGAAAAAAGCTGAATTGCTGAACAGCCTGGTGTGGATTTGGTGGTGTTGATGGAGAGCCCATGGTTGACTTTAACCTTAGAAAATTGGTTTTATACCTGCCCTCAAATTTGTGATATAGGTGTTGGAAAAGAAACTGTTTTCATCTTCTGTCTCTACATCCCTCACAGAAGAGAAGGCAAAGGGCTGTCCCTGGATTGCACAGGAGCTGCTCTACATCCCTTTTCCTCTGCGATGTGTCTGCAGGGGAAAGGTGCTGAGTTGATGGTGGCAAACAGAAAGAAAGACTTGCAGGGAGGATGGTGAGAAAGTGAGACTTGGGTGAAGGATGGGACAGAAATTTTATTTGAGAAAGTGGCTCCTTTGACCAAGGAGAGCAGCTCTTTGGCACGAAGGATCTAGGTCGGGGGATCTAAAATTCCTGCGAGGGGTGTGACAGCCCAAGGTGCTGGACTGTGCCTCAAGTTCTGCTGTTCTTTGCCTCTATCCCACCGAGGGAGGCTTTGCTCTCTTGGACAGACACTCTGGAGCAGCAGCAGGTGCACGGTGAGCCCACCACAAAGCAGAGGGAGAAACAAGCCAATAATCCCAATTCTTCTCAGTTTCCCCAGCAGGCAGTTCAGATTCTTCTGATGCCTTAATTAAAAAAAAAAAAAACAACCAACCAGCAGCTGGGAATCACTGGCAGCTGGTGTCAGCCTCCAGAACCACCCCCCCGAGGAGGGCCATGGGGGTTTGTCCCCAGGCTACCACATCCCCCTTCGGCCGCCCCGGCTTGCACAGCGCGAGCGCCCGAACCTCGGCAGGGCTCAGAACGTGGCTCCACAGGTTCACCTGAGCCATCCACCCCACAAACCCGTTGGAGAACGTCCCAAGGAGAGTGTCTCTGTCTTTCCCGAGGACGAGCATCCCTCCGGGCTGGCTCACGTAGCCCTTCTGGACGCTCACCGCCTTGCCGGCCGCTCCGTTGAGCCACACGTTGGCCGTTCCGGGCTGGGAGGCCCACGCCAAGCAGTAGTGCAGCCAGTTCTGGGCCTTGTGGTGCAGGGGGAAGCTGATGGAATGGCCTCCTATCCACAGTCCCACCTCTGTGCCCAGGGTCACCACCAGCTCGTTGTCCCTCTCCTGGGTGGAGTAGGACAGGACGGTCTGGCTCCCGGAGTGCTGGGATCTGGCCCAGAAGCACAAGGTGAAGGCTTGGAGAGACATGGCACGGAGGGGATGGACATCCACAAAGCTCTCAATGTTTTCCACAGGGAAGTAGAAAGCTGGAAAAGCGCTGGGTTTAATACCTGGAAGAAGCAAAAACCACTGCTTCCATTTCCTGCCGTGCCTGTAAATAAACCCAAATCCTGAAGAATTGCACCCATAGTCTGAGCTGTCTTGAGCCACAGTTACTGGTGTGTGTTGTGCCAACAGGGAAAGGGCTTGCAACGATGAAAAACTGAGCTCCCCCACCCAGCTGTTTGGGAAAATTGCTTTTTTCTCCCTCCTTCTTTCTCTTTTTCTCATCCTGCATAAAACAGAGGTGATGATTATTCATCCTGGGGGAACTGTGAGCTTAAACATTTCACTGCTTGTAAAAAATGTGCTCACACGTTGCAGGAGAAAGCTGCAGTTGCTGTGGGAGTATCTAGATCAGGGCTGGCCACAGCAAAACTCTAACTGAAGAATTTCCATCAGCAGGCCTAGATATGGAACAAAATTCTGCCTGCACGTATCAGTACCCAACCTGTCAATGGTTTAGGCCATCAAGGTCAGCAGGGCATGGGCTCTTCCTTCTCCCAAGGTAAGCTGGACTACATAGCTGTGTGTCCTTACCTGTGTGGCTCACTCCATTCAGCAACTCCGTCTTCATGTCTTGGAGCTGTGCCTGGATTTGATCCAGTCTGAGGGTGAACTCCTCTGGATGGCATTGTGCTAGAGCAATCAGACAGCTCAATTTACAGAAGGCCAGGACACCTACACACGGTAGATCTTCTAGTTCGGGGAATACCTTTGTTTTGAAACGCAGCATCTCTCCTCTGTGTGGTGCCAGCCTGGCTGCTCACACACCTCACCCACTTGGGTGCAGACACACCCGAGCTGAGGACCCTAATGTGGTGCCACCTATCACCAGGTACCCTGGACATGTGTGTGACAGCCAAAACTGTCAAAACACAGGCTGGCACACACCCTGCAGCCACCACTGCACCCTCAGGGGCCAAGTGTGTTGGCAGGGAAAGAGGAGGCGCGCAGGGGACATCTCCACCCGCGTGGGGACACCGCTGCTCCTGGGAAAGCCGATCTCCAGCACACCTAAACTCGCAGCTGAACGCCTTTCCACGCAGGATTCTTGCCCCTCCCCAGGTGAGCCCAAGTCCTGCCTGCTGAGCCCTTACCTTGGGGGGGTCTGGCTCTGAAGGAGGACTCCACCACCCTCCCGTGGAGGGGCTGGCCGTGCCGGTAGTCGTTGCGCAGGGTCCTGTTCTCCCAGTCCAATAAGGTGTTCTCCAGCAGGCTGATCTGGCAGGAACACAGGCATCTTTAGGAGGGCAGTGGGAAGGGGCTGTTGCACCTAAAAAAAGCGCAGGGAAGATCCTGCAGCTCAGGATTAAACTGAGCAACCTGTTCCAGAGGGATCCTCAGGGCCTCTAACCGGGCATTAGCAAGGGAAAGGAATGGAATGTGAGGGCTCTTATCAGCTAATTCATGATAAAGATATTTTGCCTGAGGGAAGTTCTGAACACCTGATGGTAATGCATGCATGGAGATTTTTGCTGGTGTGCTGTAGCTTTCTCACAAGTGCCTTCCAGCCTTCCCCCTGCCAGAAAGAGTATTTCTTTTTCAAAGAGAACACAGCGACCCTCCCCTGCTGGAGTCTCGATTTTATCTTGCTCTTCTCCTAGAAGAAAATGTTTCTGATGCTTCTTTATTGAATTAAAAGCAATGTAAGTCTAAACAAGGAAAAACCCTGAAATACTGTATAAAAACGTGACAGTTATTCTGTAATTAATGTTATGAATGGCTCTTTTGAGGTTGTTTTGGGTTTTTTGGGGGGGACTCTCTTACAGCAGTTTTTGCCTTGTTGATTCTGACTGGCCTCTTCATTTTTATAGTGCTTCAGGGTGAGTTTAGAGAGCTTTGTTATCAGTCACCAGACCTGCTGCTCTACAGCACCTGACCCTTGCTGTGATGTGGCACCATGGTGTCATCACAGCCACCTGTAATTCCAGTTGCTTAGGAATCTATCCCAAACTGAGACATGCCACGTTATCTCACCTGTCAGGCTGTTCCCAAAATCACTGGAGGGCAGAAAAGGAAAGGTGAAGCACAGAGGAAAGAGCAGCTGGTGACAGCTACCACTTACCTGTGTGTGTGACAAGACAATGGGAGTGTGGAAGATGGTCCAGATCACACTCTCAGAGCAGGGTGGGGTTGTCAGGGAGCCCTGGTACCTGTAGAAGTGTGAGAGGTTTTCTGGCAGCATGGCTTGGACATCCAGAGAGCTGAGCTTCGTTGATTGACCTCCAAAGGGGAGCAGAGAGGCAACATTAGCAACTAATGGGGAGTGAAGAGAGAGGTGGGAGCGCTGTCAGAGCTGGGGTTGGCAAAGCCCTCTGCCCAAAGCACTGGTTTTTGAGGCCTCTGGCAGAAGGGATGGAGATGGAGAGGAAGGAATGGTCCTTTCAGTGGATCCAGGTCTGTCATTTGGAGGTACCTGGGTCCTGGGGGTGGTGGGCACCTTCACCCCAGTGCTCTGCCAGCACCTGCTGGTCCTCCCAGGAAGCAGAGAGTATTAGTGGGTGTACAGACTGCAGGGAGCTGCTCTTTGGTGCTGCAGACCTACCGGGAGTCTATTTACTGCTGCCTTGAGCACCTTCCCCCCCTCACCCCGCTGCTGTTGGAGCCACGTGGGCAGGGATGGCGTGGAGTTGGGCACAGCTGAGGATGCTCAGCCATGGGACTGCCAGCAAAGCAGCAGGAAAATGTCTTTTCCCCAGACCCAGCACCTACAGACAGGCTCTGAGAATGTCAGGGATGGAGAAAGGCATTCCCTGGTCTTACCTGCAAACCTGATTCTTCCCAGCTTGGAGATGAACTCACTGTAGTAGGTGTTCTCAAAGTGCCCATCCTAAACACAGCACAGAAACCTTGATCAAAAGCTTTGTGACCTGCCTGTCCTTTCGCTCTGCTGATCAGCTGGGGGGACTAATTGATGATTTGGGGGATAAAGAGAACAAATGCTACGGCAGATCTGATGGGCTGGACAACGCTGGGCATTCCACTTACCTCATAGAGGAAGGCCAGCACAGCCAGCCCGTTGGGTTTGTCCTTGGCTTCCTCAAAGCTTGAGTAGTCAGCAGAGTTGTAATGGACAATGTGCAGCTGGCAGGAGAGAGAAGCTCATTCAGCAGCAAGTGATGAGGGGCCCAGGGCAGACTGCAGGGAGGGTCACCATCCCAATTCCTGCTGCTTGTGCCTCACAGCACAGTCAAGGAGACCTTTGATTTAACAGGTCTGTGATGAATATGCTCACGTACCTCTGCAAAGTACCTCATCCCATCTATGGTGTGCTCTGAGCCACTGGTCTCCAGGTCCAGGCCACCCCAGTGCAGGTGCATCTGGACAGCCGTGTACAGGCCTGGGAGCCCTCTGGAGATGTTCATGGTGGGTGGCAGATCGATCTGAACTGGGAAAAAAAACCCCACCAGGATTAGAGGCAGCCACCCCACTGCTGTAGATCCCCTGACAGGGCCTGGTGCTCCCTGCAGCACCACCCTCTGACATGAGCAGGCACAGCTGGGGAACCAACTCCAGTGTGGAAGGGAAAATGCTGAGCCTAAAGCTGGATGTGCTTAAAATCCTTCCTGAGCTCAGGCTTGTGCCCCACACAGCTCCCACCAGGGGCAGTAGCTGTGCCTGCAGACTCTTCCTCCCTCTGAGCAGCTCTGGCTCTGTCATTAGGCTCTAATAAAGGTGCTTTAGTGATCAGCCCTTGCACAGCACAGTCACTTCTCGCTGGGCTCTGCAGAGATTTAACTACTTCCTTTCCAAGGAAGAAAAGGGGAATATGGGTGAGACGTTTGGGTTTGGCTCCTGAGAGTCTGCAAGGAGAGTCCTGCTGAGAAATCCACCTCCTGCCCCTTTCAGATCTGCTGAGTGTTTTTCCCTAAAAGATTCTGCTGCCCTGTCCCCTCTCACTGAAGCCAGTAGAAAAACCCAGCCTGACTCACAGGAGCTGTGAATGGGGACAGCTGTTTTGTCTCGGTGCTTTGGGAAACTGCCCTGCATCAGATAATCATTGTTGGGAAGTAACAAAGGAACAGGCAAATACACACACAAGGGGGGCAGAAAAGCTAAACCTGCAAGAATTAATGTATAGGCAGGTCAGGGCAGCAGTGCTGACACAACTGAGTCTGTGTGGGCCACAAACAGGCACTTTGTCTCTCATCACTTCATCTCCTTGCTCTCACACCGCATTTCTCTCTCTCTGTTACAGAGGGGAAGAAAGGGCTGTCGTGCAGGATTAAAGAGCTACGAGTTTTATGTTTCAATCACCTTCCCAACACCGCTCAATTCTCTCCCCACTGCAGCCATTGGAGAATCAAATCCTCTCGTTGCTCATCTGTAGTCCAAAAGCATTATCCCAACAGTACCAGCTGATGAATTATTTAGACAGTGAATTACAGATTGCAGCAGGGGAATCTGGGATCTCCTAAATTACAAGCCTTGCCCTGAAACTGTGTGGCCGAAGGCCAGGCTTTTAACCTGCGCTGTGCTTCCTTTTCCCTTGCTGAGACCCAAGATACCAGTCCTCTGGCTGTGAGAAAGGGATTCCTCTGTGTTGTACTTTGGGTGACCTACATCTAAATGAACTTGGGATGCAAAGGTTTCCATTCCTGTCACTTCTAACTAATGCACAGGGCCAAAAGATGCATTTTTTTAATGCAGAGAGGAGTCAGCATGCCCCAAATAAATCCCACGCATTGCTGTAGTCCTGTTGTCTTGGAGCACGTTAAAAGAAAGGATCAATCTAGAATGCTCTGTTTGCATTTTATCCCCTTTTCAGGTCTGACAGAGAAAATATCTTGCAGGAACCTAACTGCTTGTTATTTGTCTGGTTTATATATGTATTTCTGGAGAGCCTTCCTGGGTGATTGGGCAAAACAGCAAAACTAGGGGAGGGGAACCAAGTGAGATGGCAAAGTGAGGTGAGTTAAAAAAAAATAAATAAAAAATAGGGCATTGTCTGCGAATAGCATTTGCATCAGTTAAAATGAGAAGTGTCCCTGCACTGCCATGAGCCTGACACCACCACCCCCAGCCTTACCAGAGTGACCATTGTTGGTCATCTTGAAATCCCCCTGCAAAGGCCCGTCGTAACCATTGAGCTCCAGCTCCAGCAGCAGGGGGTTGTACCTCACTTTCTTCCTCTGGATGTCAATTGGAGATTGGTGCTTGCCAGCACAGTCTGGAAAGTGCTTCCCCCAGTGCTCTTCATCCAGCTCTCCTTCTGCCAGCAGGGGAAGCAAGGCGAGGTTACAGGGACGTGGTGAGGAGCCGGGGGAACTCCCCTCATTTGCCAGCAGGAAACGTCAATCTAATTATTGTAACACCGGGAGCTGCAGCCCTGAAAGGTTGCTTTGCCTTCCCCGGAGTGAAAATACACATTACTCTGTCTGCAGGACGGCTGTGCTGCAAAGTGAGAAACCTGCATTGCAGCAACAGAGACTGAGCCTCCACCAGAAGGGGAGCAGCGTTTACATGGAAATGGGGATTTAAATGGGGCTCAACTGCCAAAGGTGTGGAAGTCTGTTCTCAACCACTGCGAGTGAATAGGATCAGGGCAATAGGCAGGAAGACTCTTCTTAGGATCAGGAAGTGGCAGCAATTTGCTGTTTTTAACTGGGGAAAGAGCGATTGCAATAGTGCAATTCATCCAGCAGATAGCCTTTGTTTTAGCTTGATTATCAGCCCACCCAAGACCATAAAGGGATTAACATTTACTTCAGCGAGCCCTGCAATCAACTCCCCGAAACAAACGCGATTGTGATAAAATTTCATGAAAAAATATAAATACCCAAATAAGCACTTAGTGCTCCGTACTGCCTGGCACGTGACAATAAAATAAGCAGCAGGCAGAACTTAAAGCTTTTCCTTCCAGGATCATCCAAAGGGCAGCTTTTCTTCGAACACAAGTAAAGATTTCGCCCATTGTTTGAAACCTCGTTGTGCTGCCAACCCTGACAATGTGTCCTGACCACACAAAGGAGCAAAAAGGGGTGACATTGAAGAGAATCACTTTCAAGACACAGAGGCATCAATAAAGTGGAATAAATTAGCTGCTCTGTGATCTTTCGCCAAGGGAGAGTCAAGCTGAGCGTTGCTCTTGCAGCACAAAAGGGAAGGGAGCGTCTTCAGCTGCAGCGACCCCAAACCAGCCTCATTTTCCCTCACCTTTGTAAGTCCAGTGCACCAGGTGAGAGCAGCTCAGGGGCAGCAGGAGCAGGGGGAAGAAGGCAGCTGGGAGCCACATGTCTTCTTGCTGCACCTGCAGGGACACCCAAGGTGGGGAGAGCTTTAAAAAAACCCTCAGGAGGCGAAAATACCCATTTCCTCCAGGCCTGGCCTCTCCAACACCCACCGTGCCCTTCTCCTCACCCAGCCAAAACAATGACAGCAAGCAGTGCCACAGAGATAATATATTTGGGCAGTCAGCTTTATTGCCTCTCTTAACTAAGCTGTGCCTGCAAACGGGACAGGTTTCCCCCCCCCTTGATGGCCAACGCTGATCCGAGTCGCTGTCTGACCACTTTTCCTGTCCATTCATTCCTGATGAATAGGTCGAAAAGCTTCGTTGCAAGTATCGGTAAAACAGTGCTTTGTAAGCAAAAAACAAAACAAAACAGCACAGACCTCAAACACTGTCCTGAGACAGCCAACTGTTTCCTCCTTACCCAGAGGCAGAAGGAATTTAAGGGAGCATTCACAATCTTATTAGAAATCAAACCTGCAGACACTTTGCTCCTGGGAAAATCAGAGTTTTGAGGCCAGGTTTAAAAGGGCTCCACACCCCCAAGCCTTCAGAATTCAAAGCATTTTGCTTTCAACACCTTCCCTCCTGACTGCAAATCTAGTTTTGAATGGGGAGGGATTTGCAACCTTTGAAAAATTCAGAGCTCTCCAAAAAAAACCCCACATTTAGACTGTTGAAAGATATAGGTGTGATAGGAGAGAGCGGAACACTGATGGCTTTCTAAAAAACATACAGGAATTCAAATAAGAACCAGCAGGTGACAGGTGTCTAAATGCTCTCGTGGACTTCAGTAGCTGCTCTGTGCATCTTCAGGCATTTGATTTCATTAAAAAGGTGTCCCAAGCAATAAGTGCCTACAGTCCAGTAATAAAGTCACTTGGCAGAACAGGGGGCAGCCCATGGATCCTCTCCCTGCCTTTTGGTAAGGCAAAACGCCATTCCATGTGAAAAACCTTCTCTTCCCTCCATGAATGTCACACCACCAGCAGCCCTTCCTGCCCAGCAGTGCCATCCAACCCACAAACCCACGGCTTGACAACAAAAGGGAAGCAGAAATCTCACAAGGACGGAATTTTCACCTGGCACTGAGAAGGGCACACAGCTTCCCCCTCCAAAGTCAGCACAGCTTTGCTGTTGGTTGCAGGTGGCAGGCAGAGATACCAAACATTTGGCAGGAGGGCAAACTGAGATCAGTGCAACCTCAGCACTTGTGTCTACAACGTCCCTGCCACTCGCAGTAAGGTTTGTAGTTATTTTCAGGAGCAAGGAGAGAGACTTTCAGCAGCAAGGCAGTTTTTGGTCGGTCAGAGGCAGCAATGAGGTGAGTTCCAGGGCTGAGGGTCACACTGAGGGGATCCTGAGCTCAGACACAGCCGAGTGGCAGTTTGGGTGGCAGTTTGGGCAGGTAGGGCACTGCAGTTTGCTCAGTTGCTGGTCGTTAAACTCGCTGAGAGAGCTCAAATGTGGTGCCTTCCCCCAGATGCTGTGACCCAAACAGAGCTCCCAAAAAAAACATGCAAAAAAACCCTCCCGTGTAGCTGTCCAGGCTTGAGGCTGAGGGAGTGCCTGGAGCAGGGATGGCAGCAGCAGCAGCTGGGTTTGCACAGGCTGGACAACTTGCCCAGTCTGGCAGCAGGGTTATGAGATGAAGTAGAAAGAAAGGGCTGAGAAGCATCAGAGAACAAGAAAGGGAGACTGAGTGGTGAGACTGAGCCAGAACCTCACCACCCTCACAGGACCAGCTACCAGAGACAATTCAAGATCAAGGGAATCATCTTTCCATCCCCCAGCAAGGAGCAATTCAGCAGCAAGAGCCACAGGTGAGCTACAGATTGCACGGGACCTTAGATTTCCAGGATTAGGCTGAGTTGAAGGACAGAGGAAGGTTTTTTTATTCATCTCTGCAAGTGAATTGTTAATGTGAAAAGGCCTTTCCTGGTCTAATGGTTTGTGCAGTGCATGTTTAATCTTTGGGAACTGCTGTAATATTGAGCTGATTAACCAAATGTGGTTTTTTTCCTGTTCTCCTCTGAAGAAGTCATTTATTCTGACAGTTGCACTGAACTGTGTAAGGACTAAACTAAGCAAACATGCCCTGCAATGCACTTCTTAATCCTTGTGTATCCAGTTGGGTAAATAGGCTTTGAAATTAGCTGAGGGAGAAATTTTGGGGGGTTTATACCTCTTTGCACTTCGGGATTCCACACAGCAGCACAGGAGGGTGCGAAGAAGAGTCAAGCACAGGAGGTCACCTCTGCACCGAAAACACCCCTCCTGTCAGCTCCCTGTGTGCACCAGGAGAGTGGAAATGGATGGCACACAGTGACAAGCTGTTTCCCTTGCCTGTGCTTTATTGATCAGCCAGCCCAGCCCACACAAAGGATTTGGAACAAAGCCCATTCGGGAACGTACCAGTGCCAGGAAACCGGAGATGACAGCGAATTAATTTTTAACGGAGCTTTTGCAACATTTGTGCCGTTTCACTCGACATCAGCAGGAGCTGTGGGCGCTCAGCACAACCTAAACCCACATCTGTTAGCTCGAGGGAGCTTCCCTCAAATCAGTGCCTGCTTTGGAAGGCCAGGTTGGATGGGACCCTGAGAAACCTGGGCCAGTGGAAGGTGTCCCTGCCCATGGCAGGGGGTTGGAACTGGATGATCTTTAGGTCCCTTCCAACCCAAACCATTCCGTGATCCTATGAAGGCACAGCAACCTGGGGAGAGGATTTGCTAAGGGCACAAAGCATGGATTTGTTTCGGAGTCAGGACAGAGCAACGATTTTAATGAAGTTCTTCAAATGTATTTGGCTATTCAGCTTCTAAGTACAAGCTGAATATTATGGAAGTCCTTCCTCTGTAAAAAGTATTGCACACATCAGCCACTGCCTGTTGGTTCTTGGAGCCTCTTTAGCCTGTGTGGAGTTAAACCTGGCTGGGATGAGGCTTGTCTTAGTCAGCTCTTTTGCTACCCCAAAATAATTGCTGGGGAGAAGCAGGGACACAGTGCTCAGGAACTCCAGACAGCACAGCAGGACCGTGCTTGAGATAAACTGGGGGTTTACAGGTGAAGACTGTGGGTCTGACAGCACCCAGATTTAGCCAGTGAGAAGATCTAAAGCTGAGCATCTCAGCCATGGATATTCTTGGCACTGTTTCTTCCCAAAGGCAGGCTGCTTTCACACAGACTTCAGCCTCCCCCCTCCCGCCTCGACTACAGTAGGAAATAAGCCTTTTATCCCACATCATTGGCTTCCATGCACTTCACTTTTATCTCTACAGTTTTCCCTGACTCTTTGCCATCTTTTAAATCCTGCTTCTCCCAGGCTATTCTCCTCGCTGGCCTTAAAGCTCAGCTCAAGTCTGACATTTGGAGTATTGGGAGACACATTAAAACCTTGAGATGGCATTGAAGTGGCTGGCTCAAAACCTCAGCGCTCCTTTGACCCAGAACTTGAAAGGGTTAACTCCTCTCCCTCTGAATCAGCAGGAATTTCCTCAGGAATTGCAGTAATAGCTGCATCACTCCCCAGTCCAGCAAACACTGGTGCAGGCACAGGGCTGTTTGATGTGAGATGGACAGATTGCCTTCAGTCAGGCTATCTGGGTTTTCCTAAGTGAGTCTAAAGCCTCTTCAAACAGAGGTCTGTCTGCTGAGGTCGTGCTGGATGAGTGAAAGTATCCAGAGCCGACACAAGTTTTATGAAAGACCCAAATCAGCCAGTGCAGGCAGGCCCAGACCCATGAGTAAAGCTGGCAACAGCTGGCAGATTGAAACAGGAGATTCTTTTGTGCAGAGATTCCTGTAATGTTTTCACATCTTCCTTCCAAAACTTGCCCTCATTCCTTTGAAATTTTGCACGTGGGGTTTCTCCCCCCCCCTCCTTTTGCCCCCCACCCCTGGTTTTTAAGTACTTCCAGAGATCACAGAGGTAGAAAAGTGCTGGAATTCATTTCTCCAGTTCACACAATCCCTTTGGACCTCCTTCATCCTATATGATATTTTGATGTGTTTGACTGAATTTAAGCACAGAATCACAGAATGGTTAGGCTTGGAAGGGACCTTAAAGATCATCCAGTCCAACCCTCTGCCATGGGCAGGGACACCTTCTTACCTTCTACTGCTACAAATTCTGACACACTTACTGATTCTACTGAAGCTTTGTGGTAGAAATGGGCTTTGAGGCAATCAGACACCAGAGATTTACACCAGTGCTCCTAAAAGCAGGGTTTGCCCATTTTGAAGCAGAGAGGTTCCCTCTGCGGATTCCATTTCACGCTCTAACAGATCTCAGCATTATCCACCTGCAGTTCATTGTCAGCCTAAAATTTCCTTTTGCTCAGTTTCAGCCAATTACTCTTAGTTATAGCTATAACCCTTGGATTATCTTAAAATAGTTTGCCCTTTTTAATGTTCACATCACTTCTGGGGTGTTTCTCACCTCACTGCTCCGTGGGCACGAGCAGCTTTTCACTCTGTTTTCCCCAAGGTGGAGAAAAGGACAAGGTGATGCTATAAAAAGCAGAGAACATGGTCAAATAATCCCTCTTTGTTTTCATCTCCAGGAAATGTAATTCCAGGTCTTGTGATGTCTCTATAAGGGCTGCTCTATGGACTTGGCTGAAAGTGGTTTCATGTTCTGGATCTCCTCAAAAGACTTGGAAAAAAAAAAACAAAATGTGAAGGGGGGATCAGGAAGGGGGAGGTCAAACTTCCCTCTGCATTCAGAGTGAGGAGCACAGGAATTTTGCCTGAAGGTGGGGATCGAAGGAGTGCTGTAGAGAGGGGGGCCTTGAGGAAATGATTCCCTCATTCCAGGGCCCTGTGCTGTGCACTGGATGGTGGTGAGATAGAAAGGGGATAATTAAGTGAAAAAGCAGCCTGTCAGCACGTGCAAATACCTGTTGGCCTTTCCCCTGCTGTTGGTGTTTTACACATACCTCCATCTCCTCCCCGTTTTGCTCCTGACCTCCCGGTGTAATGACAGGCACAGGAAGCACAGTTGCTGCTCAATCTCTCTGAAAATCAACATTAGCAGAAGCCCCCGAGCCCCTTGCCAAACAAATGCTGTGCACAGGACGAGTAAAGGCTCTGGAAATTGCTGCTGCCCATTGCTGGGTAAGCACTTTTCCTTTCTGCTTTCAGCTGCATTGTGTGTTGAGCAGCTGTGACATCCAGTGGCCAAACACAATAAGGTTTGGGTCCGGTACAGACCTCTTCATACGTGGTAACAATAACAGAGCCCTGCCATGGCACTTTTCATCTTCAAAGAGCTGGATAAGCACGAATTCATTAACCCCTACCCAGCTCAGCGGGGCAGAGCAGTGTAGTGATCCCAAAAGTGCACGTGAGAGGGGGGATGCCACTCTCCCAGCTCTCCGAAAGCACAGCAATCAGCTCTCTGGGGAGGTGGAGAGCCTGCTGTAGGACCAGAGTGCAGGACCTTCAGCCAGCAGTGCAAAGAGAAGCTGCTGAGAGAGAAAGGATCAGAAAGGTGCAACTCATTCAGCACCTGATGGGGAGGCCACACCCGAGGGAAGGGTTGTGCTCCTTTTCCCAAGAGCAAGAAAATCCGCGGTCAGGGAGTGGGGAAAGCTCTGTGAGGGGACACAGGAGCAGGGCTGGTTTGGAAGAGATCCTTTGTTAGAGGACTGGCCTGAGGAAAAAGCTTCTGCAGAGATTCTCTGAACATGCCAGAGGACTTTGCTGATGGATGTGGAAGGTGGGGAAGGCAGCACGAACATGGATTTGGGTTAAGAAATTCCGTGGTGGACCCAAAGCAATGTGACTGTCAGGAGATCCCAGCAGTTCACTGTGATTCTCTGTCGTGGCAGGTGAATTGGAAGATAGAGAAACCAAGAAAACAAATCATGGAAAGGAGGAGCTGGGTGTCCCCCACGGAACAGGGCACCCCAGGTGGGTGTTACCACATCTGTTCCAGTGGCTCCTCACCAGTGCACTCTGCCAGCTCAGGACAGGAGGAAGATGACAGGAGCTGAAAGTCATTCCCATGAGAATGAGGTGGATTTTTAAGACAACATGAAGGAGATTTAAATCCTCCTGTCTGTGTTGTACCTGTTCTGTGGCGAGAGAATCCTGCTTGATAACTCCTGTGCTTTACATAAGTATTTTGCACTCGTTAAGAAAACAAATGAGTTGTTATTGGGTTAATCATACTGGGGTGTTTTTTTCAGGTTTCCATTAAAAAAGAACCCCAAACCTAAATACCAGATATAATTTCTTAATGGCTAATCAACTCCAAGCATACTTTCCCCTTTATAGCAGATTATATCTCAAAGAAAGGGAGGGCCCTGCTCAGCAGGGAGCCTCAGACACTCCTGCAAGAGGCAGTGCAAGACTTGTACACTGGCCTCTATAGAGGATATTACTTAATGGTTTCACCATGGTTGGAACAAGCAGCTACGGCCTTTGGATCCACAATTCCTGGCAATTAATATCCAGCTGGTTTAAAAGCTTTCAGTCTCACTTCAAATCACCATATCAGATCATCAGCTGCTGGGAAATGTACTCCCTGGTATTAGCACTCTGGATTTGTGCATTGGTTGCCTTCCAAACAACCCTTCCCCATCCCCTGAAAACAGATGTAGTGGCTGTATGTGCAGGTTGGGATTTACAGTAGTTAAAAAGTAGTAGATGTTTTTCCTCTTTGAGCCATCTTACCTGCTCTTCTTTTGTTGTTGTTGTTGTCATGGTTGTTGTGCGTGAATGTTCCATTTTAAATAAAACATTTTCAAAACATTCAGCCCTTATTTACTCAGGGAGGTGGATGACTGACCCATGCTACATATTCCTAGCTGCACACAGCCCACAGTGTGCCACAGTGCCACTTCTCAAACGTGGACTAACCAGTCCATCTCTAAAAACCCTGAGAGAGGGGAGCAGAATTAAGAGAAGTGCTGGAAATTAAAAGCATTAAGAAAGACGTCAGGTCTGTCACCTGCAGCCATTTCATTATTCATGTACCTAAAGACCGTGGTGGTTCATGGCAGAGAGGAGCTGGAGGACAAAGGCATGACAGAAAAGGGGGATGAGAAGCGAGAGGGAAGGATGTAAAATCAGAGCAAGTTTGGAATGCCTGGAAGAAAACACCTTAAGCAGTCATCCAGCAACTTAACAGACACCCAGAAACAGCATCATTCAGAGCCTGCTGTTACCTTTCCAATGGATGCTCCTTAAAATACCAGGATCTGCTGAGCCAACGAAGAGGAGAAATCTGAGTGACAGAGTGCTGAGTTCTGCATGTGATGGCTTTCCCCTGGAGATCTCCACTCGGCTGTGCTGACGTGGGAAGCCTCGTTCCCTGAGATGCAGGGCTGCTGTTCCGCAGGATCCTGCTCCAAACCCCAGCAGGCTGGCACTTGTCGGATGGAGCAGGTGAGGGTGGTGCACAGACACATGTCCTTCAGGTGTTCTGTGAGGCACTGGGGAGGGAAAGAGGAGTCCCTGAGAATTCAGGAAGTGCTTTCAAGGTGCTACAAAAGCTCACGCCCTGGAATGCGCCCTGTGCTGCTAATGGGCATTAAGCACATTAAGGCAAACAAGTCCTGATCTGTGGTGGTTCTGCTCCCTGCCTTGGCATCCTCAGCTGCTTGAACCGGTGATTTCACACTCTGCAGAGCTCATAACCTGCTTTAAGCAGGGAAAGGAAAGCCTGGCCCAGTCAGCTGCTGTGCTCACCAGCGTGTCTCGAGCCATCAAAAAACTTACACCCTCACGCTTGGGGTTTTACCTGTAAAGCACAAGGAGCGACCAGGCCTTGCAGCAGAGGGGATTCTGATCACGAGAGCTGTTCTCCATCTCTGGGTGGTGGATGCCTGTAAGCCAGACCCGTGTCAGTGTTTCTCCTCCATCTGCTCCATCAGCAGTTACACTGCTGTGTTGGTGTTCCTGTGTGGGCTGTCATGTTTCCCAAAACTCTCTGTTCCCAGTGTCCACCCCATCAGCCATACATCCCCCATCCAAACCAGGAAAGAAATATTTTAAAAGAGTGCCCTGAGTGTCTGATTAACTGGTGACAAGCTTGGATTCCCACAGAAACCCATGCTTCCTAGATACCTCATAGCCTTGGGAATGCTCTTTTAAGGAAGAGAAAAAGGGAAGTCGGGCAGGATACATGACTGAGCAGCAGCATTTTTTTCACATCAGCTCTGACTTTCATTTTAATATGTATGGTACAGTGCAATTCTAAATCTGCTGACCCAGAAAAATATTATACCAACACCTGAACGGTGCCAGACTTCTGATCATGGATGCCTGACCACTGCTGCCTCCAGCTACTGCAGTCCCAGTGTGTGCCTCCAGCTGTGCCTCCCTCATGGACACACGAGCCAGTGGAGCAGACACAGCTCCTGGCACGGTGTCCATGGCCAGGACCGAGTGCTGCCTGCTGGGGATGGGGAATGCAGGTTCTCAGCACACAGCTCATCGCTCGCACGCCAACGGAGGGAACTCGCTGGGTGCTGGTTTTGTGGTCACAAGGAAAGGAGAACCCAGACAAGGGACAAGTTGTAAACTCTTCCTCACAGGGAAGGTCTTCTACAGCCAGTCCTCCCCCAGAGCTTTGGTTTGGTTGGACAGGAATAGGGACCTACAAGAGGCTCAGTGCTCCAGGCCAGAGGGTTCACTTTACACCCCACTTGTGCCTGCCACCGAGCTAATTATGACCTTTCCTAATACATCTTGTATCTGGTTCACTTTACACCCCACTTGTGCCTGCCACCGAGCTAATTATGACCTTTCCTAATACATCTTGTATCCCCAAAGAGCACCCTCTTTTACTTCAGCATCAGCCTCTGCTCAGCTGCTACGATGTTTAATTTCCCTCTGCCTTAGGCTTTCTTGTGCTCCATTTTCTTCAGCTCATTAGGAGACTCGGCACCTCTGCGTGATTTTCCTGCACGGCAATCAAGGGACTTTTACCGAGTGCAAAGATGGTGAAGCGTCTCCAACCCAGCAGTTAAGCAGCACAAAAATCCAGTTTTGTGATTTCCAGCATCTGGAATGTGTTTTTGAAGGGAATGTTCCCCTCTCGTGCCCTTATACCAGGAAGGGTAAGGCTGCAGGATAAGTCAGTGCTGACAAGGGCACAGATATAAGGCAGTGGAGTTTTGGGGAGGCTGGCAGTGCAAAAAAATCATCTACCTCGAAGTGACAGTTTAATCCCAAGTTTAATTAATTAATTAATCCACCCCTAAGTGGCAGTTTAATTCCTTTTCCTGGCCTAGATCGCTTTATCTCAGCTGTGGGCAATCCAGCAGCATTTCAGCCTGGTTCACAGCTGTGCAGCCCACATGAACCTGCTTTAAACAAAAAAGCACGAACCCCAGCACACAGTGTCGCTGTGGGCACAGGGGACACATCACCCTGTCACCAACCAGCCTGGATTTCACAGGGCTTCTCCCTGCTGGCAGCCTGGGGGTCACACGAGGGGGCCTGTTGGGCACTGGTGGCACCACACGTGAGGTGCTGGGGCAAGGAGGTCAGTTCTGCAGGTTGCCTTTGCTTTTTTTTTATTAGACTTATAGCTTGCCCCGAGGGGATGTTCTCAGGAAGGAAAGAAAAATGTGCCCAGAAGAAATATCAGTCACAGGCTGGCAGGGCGAGGCAGGGCTGGAGTGAGCACAAATATCAGGGACTCTGTGAGCAGTGATATCAGTGACTCTGAGTGCCCTGTTCAGGGTGAACTGGGCACAGAAATGAGTAACAGAATAGGTTGGGTTGGAAGGGACCTTAAAGATCATCCTGTTCCAGCTCCCTGTCATGGCCAGGGACACCTTCCAATACACCAAGTTGCTCCTTGGACACTTCCAGGGGTGGGGCAGCCACAGCTTCTCTGGGCAACCTGTGCCAGGGCCTCCCCACCCTCGCAGGGAAGAATTTCTTCCTAATATCTAATCTGAACCCACTCTGAGGTCTGTCTGACCCTCTGAGCCCCTAGACCCCAACTCCAGGCTTGGTGAAAACAGGTTTGAAGGGGGGTTTTTGATGTTGAGGGAGGCACGGGCCCCCACCAGCACCACAGTGCAGCATTCCAGCATTCAGGAGATGGAGCAGGGACTTGCCAAGGTGGTCCCAGGGAACAGCGAGTGGGGGGATTTGGGTAAACAAGGAAGGAACAGGAATCCCTCGGCAGTGCCACTGCAGGAACAATTCATGTGAGGGGTCATGCTCTTATTAAACACCAGGACACGAGGTCAGCGCTGAGTCCACTGATGGTTGAGTGTTACTTTCCAGGGATGGAGGGTTTGCTGATCACAGAGCTCCCAGCTCAGCCCGTGGCTCATACCTCACCACAGCAGACTGAATAATTATCAATGAATAATTGCTTGGTTTTACAGCATCCACAGAGGGGTTGGAGCTTTTCAGGAGCAAAAATCACTCCATTTTGGCGAAGCCCTTAATTCTGTGGCCGGTTCTGAGCTCTGTTCTGCTCTGTTATGTTTTTTTGTAACAACGTAGTTTTCAAATGGGCCTTGGGGAATCAGATCCAGGCAGAACACTGGGAAAAGTTTTTGTTGCTGCTGGCACATTGATATGAGGTGTCATAACCCTTCAACGTAAGTGCTCCCTCTCCACCCCGGGAAGTGTGATGGTTAAGCACTTAAAAAATCAGAGTAAATATTTATTGTGATTAACCTTTTCCTAGAACTAATACAAACACACACGCACTTCCAGCCTTCCTCATTCGGGCTTTAGTTGCCATTCCCACACAGAATTATTGGGACGTCCGGAGATCACCCAGCCCAACCCCACTTCCCAGGCAGGGTCACCTGGAGCAGGTGACACAGGAATGTTCCCCGGGTGGATTTGGAATGTCTCCAGGGAGGGAAAGTCCACACCCTCCCCAGGCAGCTGTTCCAGGGCTCTGCCGCCCTCGTGCTCTTCCTCGTGTTGAGGTGAAACTTCTTGTGTTTTAGTTTATGGCCGTTGCTCCTTGTCCCGTCGCTGGCACCATCCTCTGCCCTTGAGATATTTGTATGCATTAATAATGTCTCTTCTCTGTATTCTCTTCTCTGGACTTTCCTCACAGCTCCTGCGGTCTCTCCTCATCAAAGAGATGCTCCAGCCCCCCTCAAATCATCTTTGTGGCCCCCGCTGGACCCTCTCCAGTAGCTACTCTGGTACAGAGGAGCCCAGAAGTGGACCCAGCTCCCCACATGGACACAATTGTGAGGAAAGGCTGAGAGAACTGGGATTGTTCAGCCTGGAGAGAATCTTCACAGTGACCTAATTGTGGCCTTCCAGTGCCTGAGGGGAACTGAGGGCAAGGATGGGGCAAGACGAGTTACGAGAGCGTGTAGTGACAGGAAGAGGGGGATGGGTTCCAACTGAAGGAGAGGAGATCTAGATGGAATTTTGGGAAGGAATTCCTGGCTGTGAGGGCGATGAGGCCCTGGCACAGGCTGCCCCATCCCTGGGAGTGTCCAAGGCCAGGTTGGAGCAACCTGCTGTAGTGGAAGGTGTCCCTGCTTATGTAAGGGGTTCGGAACTGGATGATCTTTAAGGTCCCTTCCAACCCAACCCCATTCCATGGCTCCACGATCGCGCCTCGCGCGGACCCGGCTCCCCCCGCTCCCCCCCCTCCCTCACATGGTCCCGTCCTCTCCCCCCCTTCCGCCCCGCGCCCGCATGGGCCGCTCCGGCCCCGCCCCCTCCGCGCGCGCACCGTGCACGCGGCCGCCGGCCGGCTCTCGGCGGCACGTAGCACACGCACCCCAGTCCGCCTCTGGCGCGAGGCGCCGGCGGCCAATCGGGGCGCGGCGCGGGGCCGGGCCGGCCAATGGGAGCGGCCGGGGGGCGGGCCCCGCGCGCGAGGGCGGCTATAGGGGGGCGGGCGCGCGGCCGCTCGCCCTCAGTCAGAGCCGGGGCGGTGAGAGCGGCGGAGCTGCAGAGCGGCAGGCACAGCGGTGAGTGCGCCCGCACCGCCCGGCCTCGGCGCCCCCCTGGGCACCGGCGACGCGATTCACGTGGAGTCCCGGGCGCCCCCGCGGGATGGGGCCAAGGCGCGGTGGTCCCTGAGGGGTGCAGGCCGCTGTGGGCGGTCCGCGCAGCACCGGTGGGCGTTGCGGGGGTCTGGGCGGCCTGAACCCTGGCCACGTGTGGGATTAGGGGGTAAAATCAGCGGGATATGAGGGTCGAGGCTCGGGCAAAATCGGGGGAATATGATGGGTCATATGAGTCAAGGCGGGGACACAGTTCGGGAGGATACGGTGGGTCAAGGCTGGGCCAAAGTTTGGGATATATGATGGGTCGAGGCGCCCTCAAAGGCAGAGTTTAACCTCTCCCTCTTAATCATTAACAATCGCTCTCGGATTGCCCGTGGTGATTCGGACTTTTCCCCTCTTCAGTGGATGTCCTTCAGCTGCCCATCTCAAATATTTAACGTTTGCTGTCGGCGCTCCAATCCGTGCCTGAGGTCTCTTAGCGCGTGGTTCAGTGCTGGCTATCCCAAGGCAGCAGCACCTGGACGTGCATCTCTGGACGTTGAGGTGTGGAGAAAGAACGAAAGAAGTGCGTGCTAACCCTCTTGCCTCGTGCAGGGACTGCCGGAGAGGATCCTGGGCTTGCTCCTGTTCCGTTACTCGCCTGCTGAGTCACAGGGTAGGGCTGTGACTGTCTGAGCCTGGCAGGAAGTACTGAAGTTTGTCATCCAAACCCACACGGGCTGAGGCGATGCGGGTTCAGGCCTCCATCTTATTAAACACCGGGGAGAGAAAGTGGTTCAACATGTCTGTGATTTACTCCCTGCCGGGCATTGTTTAGAACCCGTTGTATCACGTTGCAGAGATAGAGGTGCATTTTAACCCCTCAGAGTGCAGAGCAGGAGGG